CCGGCATCCCCGAATCTCAGAGCCGTATTCTCTGCTTGGACTACCGTGATGCTCCCCGTGTCGAGGGCGGTTACAAGAAGATCACTTGTCTTGAGATGGCAGAGCACGTCGGTGTCCGTCACTTCGGTTCCTTCCTGTCTCAGGTCTATGACATGCTTGATGATGATGGTGTGTTCTTCCTCCAGATCGCGGGTCTCCGTAAGTCCTGGCAGTATGAGGATCTCATCTGGGGTCTGTTCATGAACAAGTACATCTTCCCCGGAGCTGACGCCAGCACTCCTCTTGGATTCGTTGTCGATAAACTGGAGGGCGCTGGTTTTGAAATCAAGAGCGTTGATACCATTGGTGTCCACTACTCTGCTACTCTTTGGCGCTGGTACCGCAACTGGATGGGTAACCGCGAGAAGGTCGAAGCCAAGTACGGCAAGAGATGGTTTAGAGTAAGTCCCTTTCACGAGCAGATTTCCCCTCAATTCATTATGCACGTTGAGCACGACTGACTGGAGGACTTTCCGTTCATTTAGATCTGGGAGTACTTCCTGGCCTACTCGACCATCATCTCCCGCCAGGGAAGCGCTACCTGCTGGCAGCTGACCCTCGTCAAGAACATCAACTCCACCCACCGTATTGAGGGCATTGACTCCCAATACGGCCTCAAGGGCGCCCGCCAGGCCGCGATTGACAACGTGGGCCACGGCGTTGTCCCCAAGGCCCATGTCCCTACCGTTAACAAGGAGTAAAGTTACGAATTGTGGCCAGTGGATTTGGCGTCAGAGAACATGATGTCATGTGGTGAAATCATTTCACGTGCACAGGTTATGGGAGGAAGGAAGGCGACGAGAGAGGAAGCTGGCATTCTGAAAGGTGATACAGGACCGGCGGGAAGCATGAGTCGGAGTGAGTGGTCTCGGTGAAGGCGTGGCAGGAATGTATGATCGCAACGGCAGCTGTCTGATGTACGATGGATCCGATCTATATAACTCTTTCGGTCTCGGACGAGCGAGAGAGCTGTGTATGTCTAATGTCAGAAGACACATGGTAATGAAAAATAGATGTCATGATGCGTGATGATAGTCTCGACCTTACTTCTCATCTCTCCTTTACTGTTAGTGGAACGGTCTCAAAATATCAGTTTGAACGCTCTGAAGGATTGAATGAGATGTATGAAATTGCTGAAAAAGACGCTAATCAACCATGTCAACACCAATAAATGCTACATCTATCCATCCCAAACAACGAATCCGACTGCCAGGTATCAGACAACCAGTCCAACTATCGATGGAATTATTCAATGCGCTTGTAAAGCTTCGCCTTAGTACTGGCAATCCCACTGGAACAGCACGCTGCAACGGGAGCGGGCTCAGGATGGAGGGTGGATTTGTTGAATGACTGTGTTGAAGGGGGCACATCCAGGGCCGGATTTTTCGTGAAGAAACCATCGGGTTTCAGCATGACGCTGATCCGCTCCATAGGCATGACGGGAAAGTCCTCGACACGGGGGTTATGGGTGAGACCGAACGCTGCCGAACTGGTCAGTCCTGGCGGTGAGACCGCTACGGCTCGAGGGAACTTACTATGCCATAGAACCACATCTTCGTTCTCTGTCGGGTCATTCCTTTGTACCCAGGTCTCGACACCTTCCGCTCGTCTGCTCTGGTTGGTGAACTCGCCTGCGGCGTACAGCTCGTCGTCGTTGTACTTGGTGACCCAGATGGGTTTACTGGCGAACTCTGCCCGTCGGTAACCGATTGCGTTTTTGCTCAACAGGAGCATCTGGCTGGGCGCTGTTTGGAGCTTGTATGCCACGGGTTTATAGGTCACAGGGTTGATGATATTATCGTTGCGGATCTTGAAAACTCGATGGCGGTTAATGTCAGTGTTAGCTGAGCCGGACTTGCGGATGACGGTCTGCTCAGTAGTATAACCAACAAGGTAGGGATTCTTCTCGTCTTCAGGGAGTGGTACACTGTCCTCATAGTAGATTGTATTCCTGAAACCATCTATGGCCGGATCAATCCGCAGAGAAAACATATGTTGATGGAAAGGAGCCATGACTCCTGGACCAACGTTTGTGCCCCAAGCGACTGTTTCGCCGTTCTCATTGTCAAAGGGAACGGTCGATAAGATACCAGTAGCTCGGACTTCTAGTTCCACATTGGCAGCCTGGTCAAAGATGTATGCAAAGATGTACTCGTAATTTGCAACAGTGCAAATCATCTGAAGGACCAGCTGGCGGTTTCGCACCACAGTCGCAGCGCCCGATCGGTAGTTGGTGTGTTTATGTTGAAGACCATTGTCCTGTTCATGCATGCAAATGATGTTTTTCAAATGGACAGGATTACCCTTTGAATCCGTTCGATAGCCGTCAAAATATTTGATGTGACCCAGGCAATCACATCCAAGCGTCAACTGGTTAGCATTGAGACCAAAGCCAACATCTCCCACATCGAACGCCTGTTTCCGATGATAAGGGGCCCGAGGATCTGATGCAATCCGATTGATCAGTAAAGTGCTCTTACTCTTGGTGTCATGGTCAGCTCACCTCCGTAGGGAACCGTCATCTCTGAGACCGAAAGCCGATAGAAGACGTTGCGATTGTCGTATGTGATATTGTAGAGCACCAGTCCCTCCCGGTTGTTGAAGCCGACCCTGAATCGCCATTTCTGCCAGTACACAAAGTTCCCATCAACTGAGAAGGACGCCCCCTCAGGTTGCTGGACGATGTAGGGTTTAAGGTCTTTTCTCAGTGGCTCATCAAGGAGATCGTGAGCATATTGAACTGTTTTAACTGGTTTCCACGGTTGTGTTTCCGTTACTTCTGTGTCTGCACCGCCAGGGAGATAATCCATGCGGACCAGCTCCCTGGTGATAGCGTCGAAGACGGGAGAGAACTTGCATGGCAAAGAGTAATGGTTGTTCTCTGGGTGGTCTGCTGAGACCATGTACATAAAGCATTGGAAGAGCCGTCTCGTTTCATCCGGACTGTCTGAGCCGTACATCCACGGATCATTGCAGACCGTCATTCCTGGCGGCAGTTTGAGTTTCTCGATTTCTGCTAGCACCGCAGGGTGCCGCATGCAGAGCGCCTCAATCTCAGTCACCTCATCTACATCAATAGGTCCCTATATAGTGAAGCAATTAGCTATCAAAACAGCCGGATTCTGAAAAGGGAAAGAGAAATGATCTACTCACTTGCACATGTGCTGGGAGCTCCTTAATATGGATTACCGACTTGCTGTCAGCATTTAATAGGGCCTTATGGAAGACGCCACTGTCCAAACGGTGAAAGTAGGAAAATAAAAGGCGAGGTGGTCTCTGAGGTAACGGTTCCCGTAATCTCTCTGCCTCGAGATATGCAATGACATCTTTCTTGAGAGGCTCTTGCAGATCAATTCGCTTATACCGAAGAGGCACACCAGGGAAGGCAGCTTCGAGAATGCGAACGGCAAGTTGGATCTCTTCTGGGGTAATTGGATCAAAGGGATGAAGTTTGACCGAGGTGGCCGAAGGAGGGCTCTGAGATGCCAGCATATCGCAGAGAGTTGGGTCCGTATACTGCACAGTTGGTGGTAAGTATTACTGAGAACCCTCGAATTGGAGATGAGCGTGTGAGAAGGGACTCGAGAGAAAGGAGAGTCCAGACGTGCTTATATAGTGTTCACAGAGCTGACGTCCATTGATTGTTACCTTCTTCCTGTCAGGCATAGGATCATTTATGTGAAGAACCGTTTTGCCTATACCTACCCTCCGCAAATCGATGGATATAATTTTGCTCCAGTCTTTCTCCACGCTCTGGATGGACATGCCATTTTGGGATAAGCACACACTACTTTCGGTGGGGCCCCCGATAGTGGTCCTGATAGACGGGAGATACTAAGGTAGTTGCATAGCTTAAAGCTTCAGAAATCGGAGTGCACATGCCAGATAGAGATCTAGGACTAGAATCAGATTCGAATTGATTATGACAAGATCGACATATGAGGAACAGTTTCAGATTTTCGTCAGCAATATTTCGGACAAGGCCTGCCGAAAAAATACAGCGTTCATGGAAATATACTAAATGGAGAGGGATTCATAGTCAAGGACACAAGGGGCCTCGGAGATGTTACTCAATGATCGAGGAAGCTTTCAGCCTCCAAAAAAGATAAACTGTACCAGTTTTAGAGGGCATGTAGAAGGATATCCTAGGATGGTTGACGAGGGGAACCTGAATTATGAATGGTTACCGATTAGATAGTACAGCGGTACAGCGCTTCTCTTGCCATATCAGGACTAGCGCACGATTGGCCCCCCCTCTCTTCTTCATGACTCCTCCAACCAGCAGATTTACCGTCACTGTTCCTCTGCGATGTATCTTTTGCTCAATAACGTGTCTGCAATGTTCTGCGTCCAGTGATACAGTGAACTATTATTCTGCCGATTCAATTGTGGACGTGACCATTCATTACTCCGCTTACTCCGCACCTCGGACTGATAAGCGTGATAGTCGCTTATCGATTTAGTATAGCAAAGCCGCATTATTATAGTTGGCCTTGTTCCTTCTTCATACGGGTGGAAATGACTCAATCTGCTACCGCGTATAACGAGTTCTCGCTGAGAAGCCAAAGCTCAATACCATCGAGAAAGAGATGCAGACGGGAGGGTGGGAAGTGGACTCGGTCAGGTTGTCTGACCTGCAAAAGGCGCCGCAAGCGCTGTGATGAAGCTAAGCCTGGGTAATAATGACTTCTTTTCAAATGCTTGTGACCAGCGTAGCTGATATCTAGACTAGCTGCCAGAATTGCGCCAKGTTAGGGCTCAGTTGTGAAGGATATGGTTCGGTGTGGGCAAAGCCTCTCGACCCAGGTGCGCAAGTCTTTCAACAAGTTGGACCATCCAAGCGACGCAGACTTAGTCGCTCTCATTCTGCATCAATTTCCTCAGACGGATCCTCCGGAGGCGTCTCGTCTCCCAATCTGACCTCGTTCCCTTCAATTTCTCAGAATACGTCATGTCCATCGATGTCGAAGTATGATACCGATGAAACCTGTTGGTTGGAAGTTGGCTGGAGGATCGCTGACCACGAGAACGATACCGAAGAGCCTGCCACCACTACTCCCAATGACAAGTCTCGTGTGATTACCAAGCCTTTTGGATACATCAGTCACTTGACTTACCTCGAGACGATTTACCTCCAATATTATGTTGAACGAGGGTCCAAGCTGCTGGCGAATTTGGAAAATGAAGAGAATCCATTGCGATCATTGCTCATTCCTCGAGCCCATTCCTCTCCTCTTCTAATGAATGCTCTATGCGCGCTGTCTGCGATACATCTCGCGAACCGTACAAGTGATAGCTTGTACGCTCAAACTGCAGCAGCGGATTACTACATTCAAACAATGAGAGGGGTTCGGACGGCACTTACTGAGCGTTCCGCCGATAAATTTCCCGAGGATGCTCTTCTCTCGGTTGCTCTTCTTTGCAAGTTTGAGATAGTACGTGGAAGCGTGAGGCAATGGACGGTGCACCTGAATGCATTAGGAAAATTGCTATTATCCCGCGGTGGATTCGACTCCCTCAGTCAAGACACGGCTGATTTTCTGCGAGGACTGTAAGCAACGATGACGGTTTGACACGAATTTGCAGTGGACCGAGCTGACTTTTACTTCAGTTTTGTATACGGGCAAAATTTGGCCAAATTGACGAACCCCAAACTGATCACTGCCGCCTTGTCGAACCTAAGTCATGCAGAGATTACCAGGCTCGACATATACGTCGGCTACACTGAGAGAATTATCAAGCTGTGTGCAAGGATTGCGGATCTGCCCCTTCTTTGCGCTGACCCAGTTGCCCTGGGCTTGGAAATTCATGCAATGTCGGTGCTAGCCCCCTTACAAAACGTTTGAACGCATGCTGATCTTGTACAGCGACGAGTCGCTTCGTAATTGGACAAAATACTTACCCTCGTACATTATACCTAAGGGGACAACAGAAGAAAACCTCACCCGTCTGCGCATGGTAGCTGAATGTTTCTGCGACGCTGCGTACATCTATCTCCATTCCACGCTAGAAAGGATGATGCGGGGGCCCACGCAAAGAGCATCCCCGATTTGGACTTCTTTCGTATCATTATCAAAACGAGTGGCAGTAGAGCGTTGTCTCAGAAGCATTCGGTCATCGCCACTCGACGATCACTGCGAGTATTCCGCACTTACTTTTCCACTCTTCATCACAGGATGCGAGTGCGAAGAGGCGATAGACCGAGAACTGATTATGCAATCGTTGACTCAACTGGAAATTAACTTCGGTATTGGGAATGTTAAGCGCGCAAAGGAACTACTGAACATCCTCTGGGCCGGAGAAAAGCTGCATTGGCTCGACGTCTTGGAGCACCTGAAATGGGATTTAATACTTACATGATTGATGATGTCCATCCGCTGATGTCCAAAGATCACGAATGGCCTATATTGCCTGACTGCTAGCAGTCTGCTATACGCCAAGGTCTCGCTCTGAGGTCGTAGGAAATGAAGGTCAGGTTGCATGATTGGCTGTACACTGGTCGATATTGGCGGTACACAGCTTACTTCTGTGAAAAGTATATGCATGATTCGAAACTACCCTCAAGAGCTACGGCACTTGAGTAGCTATATATATACGTATATAGGTATATTATGAATGGCCATACTCATTTTGCCAGATGCTTGTCCGAGAAGCATGCCTAAAAAGCATCCGAGGTATCCTCAGGGGTTGCTCGAAACTGGGATGATAGCATTTTCATTCGTTAATAATATACGCTTCTGAATGTTATTATACACTCGGAAAAGTGACCCTATTTGCTGAGTCGATACCGAAAATTGGATGAAAAAAGGCTTGATATTTGACACTGCTCCATGAAACTTCCCAATTTCTTTCACGGATTACCCTCGCTAAGAGACTGAATGATTAGCTCAATCCCATATTGACCTCGTCACCTAGTCCCAGTTCTCGCTCCGCCCGCTCAATACCACCTGTAGCTCGAGTACCCCAGCGGTCTAGACGATCTTGAGCGTGGACAATTTCCTTATCTCGGAGGCTGGCACTGTCACTATGCGAAGTACTCCTGGGAACGCTGCTGTCTCGGCCTATACTACCATGACTTGCGTTGCCGGAATAGTTCGATGATTTCCGAGAGTGCGCGATGTCAATCGGTCTCGAGCCGGGGGTTCCGGAGGGGCTATAACTGGTGGTAGAGGTTATTTTTCCAGCGTCCACGGAGGAGGTATTGGTGGAGGCTGGTAGCGCAGAGGAAGTGCTACTGGCTTTGTCGCTTACAGGTTTCGAACCCCCGAACCAATGTCTTTTCCGAGCCTTGGAGGAGGCTGACGGGGCGAGACTCACGGCATCGGTATCGACTGTTGAAGCGTCAATGTTCCCCGACTCCCTCTCATTGTCCAACGCCTCTGTTAAACTAGACTTGGCCGTAGCCGGCGTGTTTTCAGTCGCTTGTTGTATCTCGACGAGTTCAGCGTCGCGGCACCACTTCCGACGACGAGTATAACGATCCCAACCATCTTGCCCACGACGGCCATCATTCCACTATAACGTCACAATGGCGGTTAAACAGGGGTCAATTGTCACGGAGGGAGGTGCCGTCTCACCTTGTTATCATAATAGATCCATCCTCCACCATCCGCTGCTTTACCATCTGCCTTGCCGCTCGTATCGTCAGCTCCCTCAATGCGCCACTCGCTGCCCTCGACCCAGCGCCACTTGGCATTCCCAGCCTGTACATGCGGGAGTTCAAAATCATCCTTGGACGGAGCCGGGTTCAGATGTTCGTCGGTCCATGCAGCACGCTCAGAGGGAAACAGAGAGTATGTCCATCCAATTCCGAGCCAGCGGCGTTGATTCTCGTAGAGCACAAAGGTGAAGCGAACACCCGAGGAATCCCCTCGCCGCCTCGTTGCAATAGTTGCAGCATGACCGTGGTTCTGAGCCCAGAGGGACTGCGGTTTATTGGCATTTAAGGAAAATGAAAGACCAGTAATCATGGAACATATCCGGCGAACTGTCAAGGATCGCCATAAAATGACTCGCGATACTCTTGCTGGTCGGGAGTGATAGGTGAGAATGATGGTGCCTATAGTCATGATGACACGCCGAGTTGTGATTATGTAGAAGGGCGGAAGGGTCAATGCGATCCAGATGGGAGTCACAAAAAGAATCCGTATAAACATAGTAGTGAGAGCGGGTCTTGTAGTTGCAGAGGTCGCCGTTCTCTGGGTTGATAGGAAATCCGTAAGTTCAAGGAGAGGCTCCAAAAGTATGTTGCACCGTGTCGTGAAAGTTCTTAATGTTTCGACAATCTCATCCAAAGTCTCATGCTGATGCGAAGAACCCTCAGAGGCACTCTTTTGGTGCTGTCGTTTCTCGCCCGTAAATGCCGCCGTCGATAACGGAGAGAAGCGTCTCCAATACATCCCTAGGATTAACCCGACTACGACTAACATCGGACCGGCCCAAAGAATAATCGCATCGCTGTACAGAACCACCGTCMAAAATCCCGCCACAAGAAGGAAGCTCTGCCATGGGTCGTCCGTTGTCCACGTGAGCAAGCCGGCGAGTTTATTCAAAGGAAGTATAAAAGGATGAGAATAGGCCAGAGCTCGAGTGATGGCCGGAGGCGTAGCCACGAGAAGGGGAGACTTGCGATGTACGATTATGCTGGAACGTTGTCTGGACGTCAAGGATGAGCCTGAAATGGTAGTGGGCGAAAAAGCAGCAACCGTTGGTGGCTGAGAATCAGGCTGTAAGCCATGATCCTGCGCGTATGACGGGGCCATGGAATCTATCCACGGAATATCTTCTACCACAGCATCAGCATCTCCTGTATACTCTTCAATTCAACCGAATCCATGTTTGCTTCTTCCGCGCTGGGGGGATCCTTCTCCAGTATATGGGCGCAGTAAGGTAACGATGGATTACAGTTGTCACGTACCGAGTGCTGCCATCCAACAGAGACGTCACATGCATCATCCATCCAGAGCATTGCGGGCAGTGCGATCGCGAAGAAGAAGAGCAGGAGAAGAGGAGTAAAAGGAGAGGGGAAGGAGAAAAAGATATCACGTCGGTCCAGAAGAAAAGCTCTCCCAGAACCGAAAAGGTTGCGGGCAGATCATCGACTGCGGGGGAAGCAGGTTGAGATCCGCGGACACTTGAAGCCTCTTGCTTTGTGGTTCTCGGGACATGTGACTGCTTGTCCCAAAGAGGATACCAGGGCGATATCTTAGAGTCGTATACAAGAAATAATAAGGACTAGTTTAGAATATTGAAGATCGAAATAGTCTGCAAGTACAAATAATATCAAGATTAACTGTATGCAGTTACCTACTGAACAGACCAGACGGTAACAGTGTTCTTCAGCTCTCTTGTCACTGGGCCGAAACCGACATTGGATCGCGACTGGACCAATTCCGCCGCCGAAATTTTTGCCATTGAGCGTCTGGCTTCAGGTTCCATCTGCGATCCTCCGGTTGTCCAGCGCCATCCATCCATTCGACTCTCACCCTTCAGTCTCTTCACGACCGGATAGCTATTCTCGTCTGACCGGTTATCTTCGTTTGATTTTCTTTTCTTATTGAGAATTTTCTCTCTTCGATCTAGGTGCTTTAGTTACCTTTGATCTTTTCCGACGTTGATCTTCCTTTGCTTCCCTACTTCCTCCGACAATGGTGAGTGCTTTTCTCAACAACCTTATCGCCTTTCCCATAAAATCAGGCTTCAGTCTCTCCATCCCCAGCAGGCGCAACTAGCTGACTTCTCGGCTACTTCATAGGCCCACCGTATCCTTACCCAGGTCGTCGTCACGGGCGCTCGAGTATTCGGTCGAGCGTTCGCAGAAGCTTACAAGCAGGCCTCCGCATCGTCCAGATACGCCCAGGCAAATAAGGGAAAGGGAGGAAGCTCAAGCACGTTTGCATCTTCCGGCTTGACACTCGATGAGGCTTGCAAGATTCTCAACGTCAAGCCCCCCGCTGGTGGAGAAACGAATGTAGAACAGGTGATGGAGCGGTTCAAGAAGCTATTTGATCTGAATGATCCCAAAAAGGGCGGCAGCTTCTATCTGCAGAGCAAAATCTTGCGCGCTCGCGAGAGAATCGAGATAGAGATCCGACAAGCGGAGCGCAAAGCCGCACAGGAGAAAGAACTCCGGGAAGGCTGGAATCCCAAGGTGTACAAGGACCGGTGATTTTTCCTGTTTCGCCAGAATTTGGAAATGTCGAGTTTGAGTGTGTTCGACTTCTACCTACGACGCTATGCGCTCTCGAATCCGACCCGACCCGTTGTCGATTCGCGGAACTGAAATATCGATCGTTGAGTTGGGACAGTCTACGATCCGACGTCGCTTTCTGCTTTTTTCGTCGTTCTCCGTTCAGCTCTTCGGCATAGCAAGGCGTTTTGTTTGGTGGCTTCCAATGTTGGTATTGGAGGCAATATAGACCCCTGCCTTTTGCATTGACTACTTCGATGTTCATTGCATGGCACTGTTGGAGCGAATGATGCGGTCGCATCATGTTGTACACCACCTCGCTCTCAACCTAACTTTTTTGTTGGCCCATATGTTGTTTTATTCGGCTCCTGAGTGGGTTTGTTCCCATTCGTGTATATTTTTCTCTGAGGAGCGGGATATAAGGAAACAGTATGTCTGAGTCACGGAGAGTTCGTCTACAGTTTGAGCAGATACTGTCCTTTTCCCCCTGTCTATCCCAAATTTTTCTCCACTCTTCTTTGCCTAATTTATGGAATGAATCAACAAATGTACCATAGTATCCAAGTGGTGACAGTCTGCTTTTGTCTGTTCTCCTCCCTTGGACAATAAAGCCCAATTTCAGAACTCATCATATACTGCCTACCGGACAATGACAGGATAGTTATAGTTCAGGGAATATCTCTGTCATCTTTGATAGGAGGGATCGTATAGAGGCGTAAAAGAGAGTTGCTGGGAATTCGGTTTTTAGCTTTTCTTGGCGTTTTTCTCAGCACCGCCTTGGAATTGATTGACTGGAACAAACGATCCCATTTCAGGTACGATCAATCAATCAATACTGCTAGCAAATGTTTTCCATCTTCCAAGATCTCCCAATGTTCGATAATTCTAGATCCGATCGAATTATATATAGTCGATTGGCCATGAAGTCCATCGAACTGATCTAAAAGCAACACTAATCGGACCCAGCCCATGGCGCCATTTCCTCTTAAGGTGGGCATCCGCCCCATGGGTTAGAAATCAATTCCAGAATAATAATGGCTCGCCATCGCGCCCCTCCTGACAAGTGTTTCTTTCTTTCTATCTCCAGCGATCGGACATTGGCTTGTTGATAGTCTTGTCAGTGAAGATTGCAACGCATTGCTCTTCTTACCTCAAAGAACTCCTTGAATTGCTTACAAGTGGTAATCGCGATCATGGGGCGTCCCTCTGTCCCTCTGTCGGCGGATCTTCCGCCACTCATTATGGGCACCGCGACCTTCAATTCTCAGTACAACCAGGATCCATACGCACTCCCCACGACGGAACTAGTTCATCGTGCTCTCTCGGACGGTGTCCGCGCTTTCGATACGTCCCCGTATTACGGCCCAGCCGAGGAGCTTCTCGGTCGTGCTCTGGCTACTGATCACGTTCGCTCCAATTTTCCCCGTCATACATACCGATTGCTCACCAAAGTGGGCCGAGTTGCAGCCTCTTCCTTTGACTATTCTCCGAAATGGGTCAGGTACAGCGTGAAGCGCAGTTTGCGCCGCCTCCATACCGATTACTTGGATGTGGTCTACTGCCACGACGTTGAATTCGTGAGCCCCGAGCAGGTCCTCGAGGCGATTCGGGAGTTGCGCCGCATCCGCGATACCGAAGGCACTATTCACTACGTTGGCATATCGGGATATCCTGTGGACGTACTGTGCGATTTGGCAGAACTGGTCTTGCGCGAGACAGGCGAGCCGCTGGACGCGGTGCAGTCATACGCCAATTTCACGCTCCAGAACACCCGACTGCTCACCCATGGTCTCCCTCGGTTAGTGGCCGCCGGCGTGGACGTGATTCCCAATGCGTCGCCTTTAGGAATGGGCCTTCTACGGCGCAAGGGTGTGCCCATTGGAAGCATGGGCGATTTTCACCCCGCTCCAGACGGTCTTCGGAAAGCCATTCGCAGTGTGAGCGAGTGGGCTGATGCTCAAGGTGAGAAACTCGAAGTGATTGCTATCCGCTTTGCTCTCGAGTCGTGGCTTCACGACGGTGCTAAGGCCGGGGCCCTGGGCCCGCCTCTTGCACGGTCCCCTGGCGCTGATCCTGGATTCCTCTCCGTCGCCCACATGGGAACGGGCGAGCGGCTAGGCGTCAGCGTGATGGGTGTAAGCAATATAGAGGAGCTGAACGAGACATTGCGCGTTTGGCGCAGCATTGTGGATGGATTAGAGAACCAGGACGACGAGGAAAACACCAGCGAACATGCTCAGGCCGCCGCTATACCCACCGCTTACCAAGCGCCAGCCATCCTCACGCCGTCTGAAGGAGTCATCACCGACCGTGCTTGGTCCAAGTCACGTCGCAGTCGCATCTTGTCCCTCGCTCAAGGCATCCGGTCCATTCTTGGCCCGCAATGGGTGGACTATACATGGCCCAGCCCTGGCCCGGATTTTGTTAATTCGCTGCCCGCCGAGCATCTCGCTCTGTTGGAACAACTTGGCATTGAAACGGACGGTTGTATAAAGCAGAATGACGATTTGGTTACCGCAAATCAGGACGAGCCTATGGTAACACCTCCTTTGCAAGCGGTGGACAAGCAGATACCCCTTGGCACAGTGCCATCCAATGCTGCTTTATGATATATTTCTTCTCGACCTTATGACCCATGATGATGAGTACACACCTTAATAGAATTCATAGGGGAAGGGTATCGAAAGAGCGTCCTCTTCTCGGACCTTTCCTGAGATATTATTGACTTCCTCTGTATTTTGTCTTGCGAGCACCGTTTTATTCATCCAATTGACTTATAGACGTCTTCCCAAAGCACAAATCATTTCTTTGCACATGTGTCAGTCTGAATCGTATTCCTCCGAATCATCCTCTTCAAGCAATCGCAAATAGCGCTTCCTTGATGAGAAAGAGGTGGAAGGAAATTTTGCAAAACGGAACGGAGGCGATTGCATCTCCGTAGCCTGTAGCATTTCGAAATTCTTAAAGTCAATATTGTTTCTCAACTAGCCATTTCAGGTTCATAATGGATCAATAAGCTTCGCCCCGTCTCGGGATGTGAACCTGTGTCAGGACGGTCCATCTAGTCTTGAGAGATCGCAGGCAGCAGACGAAATCTGCGTTTGTTGAGACACTCGACAGAAAATCACTGTATCTGTCAGCCACGGCACACAGCCCTGTATGTTGCTGTTAGAACGGGTGATATCTGTTTGGGAGCATAGAAATAACAGGTAGCCCATATTGAGCCAAAGGGCTCGACTGTCGGGGGCTGCACATGTTTGGGACAGGAGGTAAAAGGCAATATGAACAGAAGTAGAATCATAGACTCTGTCGTAAAATCAAAACGCCCCGAGAACCAATACCGACAACCAGAATAGCCTGCCACCCTATCCACAAACTCAAAGAGAACTCCACATATATTCAAACACGGGTATCTGATGCAAATGGCGATGAACGAGAGAATGAAACTGGAGAGAGCAAAGAAACAAGAATCGAGTCACCCAGATAGACCTCAACAGAGGGATGTCACCGATCATGGGCACCGCAAGGAAGCGTCAAGGTCGTTGAAATCTGACATCAAGCCTCGGGCCACGAGTTCACCTGCCCAACTGTACTGGTTCATTTCGTCTCTCTTTCTCGACTTGCGAGATCTTTGTCCATCTCAGATTGGCTTTTATAACCACCTAAACTCAAGGCTTGCTCATTACTGATGGAGTTTGGAATAGTAGGTATATCAGGGCGCAAACGTCTAAGACGAGCGGCCCGTTCTCGCGATGCTTCTTGCTTTCTTTGCATCTTGGTCATCTTCTCCTTGGAGTCTTTGGATGCTGGCGCTGGAGGAGCTTTGGAAGATTTCGCGGAAGGAGGTTTAGCAGGCAGATTAGGTGGCAGAGGAGCAAGGTCGGCAGGAGGCGGAGGAGGACTCTCTGAGGGAGGTGGCGGAGGTGTGGGAGCTCGACGATACTCTGCAAATCTGGGATGGGTCTCAAACACCGCACGTAGTTGCGAACGCTGCTCTGTGTACTCCTCATAATTTGCAGCGATGATACTTTGCAGAATGCTGGCTTTTGTATCGCCAGACACCGCCGAGGAGACCATACGTTCCTTCAGAAGTTGGAATGCCTTCGAGAACGACTTGAAGATCAGATGGATTTCCCGAGTTCCACCCGACACATCGTTATCCGGGTTGTTGGGATCTTCGATTGATAAACGAGCATCATTATTACCTTGGAACCCCTTGTACACTCTCTAAAGGAAGCATGTTATCAGTGGATGGGAAGGCCTGCCCAAGTTTGCATTCAGATACTCACCTTGTTGAAATAACCTGGTGGATTCAGGCGAATACCAACATTCTCGAAGTCGAAATTATTACCGTAGAATTCGAAAAAGTCCATGAGAATGCTACCCAGATTAGGCGCTGTGTGACCATGGGGTAGATGCTGAAGAAGACTGGTAACGAGGCAGGTTATGGAGAACCCTCCCAGACCACCAGTTGGGACCTCATTAAGGCCGCGAAGTAGCAGAAATTGCTTGAGCACCGCTACAATCACGGGCATCGCTGGATAATCTGATTTCCAGTTTTGAAATGTGTTGTTGGCGATGAGCCCGCTATCATTGTCAAACGACAGGTCAACCCGCAAGCCCGTCATCTTGTCCACAAACTTCAGAATCGGCACGCGCGCATGCGCGATGGTCTCTATTGAATTGGGAACGGCTATTTCAAGATTCTTGAGAAAGGCTGCGAAAGCGTAGATCTGTCCTTTACGCTCACCAAAAGTCTTTATGCCGTTGCGCATGAAATTTGATGACAGCAGAACAAGATCTATATCCGCAGTGGGCAAATACAAGCCAGAAGCGAACGAGCCGAACGGACGAAGTTGCACACCATAGTACCTATTTTGGAATGCTACCTGCAGCCTCGTAATCAAATCTGCTCGGACAATCTGCTCATACTGCATCGGCTTAACCCAGTGGTAAAAACTCAAAATTTCATTGTGCAGCCGAGAACCCAGGTGCAAGGAAGGCTCCATGAGCGACATCCAAGGAGTTGCATTCTCGTCCGGGCGCGCTCTCCACTCGTCAATAATCGAGCCATCATCGTAGAACCTGATCATGGGCCGTCCGGTCTTCTTGGAGTAGCCCTTTATCTCGTCATCGTGTGTTCTCTTCCGGCTCCCGAGAGCAGAGTCTCTTCCTTGCAGACGTTTCGGTCCCGAAGGAGCATTGTCCGGCACTTTCATCCTGGCTTCCTCTTCGTCGAGCAAGCCACTGAAGGAGATAAAGTCCTCGTTGGTCGTCACTGCATCCGCAGGTGCTGTCTGCTTGGCGTTCTCAGCGATCCGCGCCTTACGAATCAGCTTGACGACATCGACCCTCTTCGCCAAAGTCTCATCAGGCGGGGGTAGGACAGTGTAAGGATCTGGGTTGGACCATTTTGGAGCTGTGACTGGTGCAGGAGTAGGAGCAATCGCATTATTTGTTCCTAGCGCACGCCTCTTACGCGGATGCGAAGCCTCATCGTCCTGATCATCGTCAGACATGTCCATCTCGGCTTCCTCGCTGTCACTGAGGTTTGAAATAGGCGCAAATTTCATGGCCGGTTTTTCATCTCCTGTTTTAGCACCCAAGATGGGCTCTGGAGTGGTTTCTCTTTTGGTAGTCAAGAGCGGTCGTTCGGCCGTCCCGGGTCGCGCATATCGGAAAGTGAACTCATGTCTTGGATTGTTATTGTGCGACCGTCGGTCGTTGCCTCGAAACTCGAAAGCTGGCGGCATGATTGTACCGCAGCTAGTAAAGTTCGAGTATGAGCAGAGAAAATGAGATTATGAAACAAGAAATGGAGACGGGTAGTTGCACAACAAAGAAAGCAATGATGCATCGGACGACGCGACCTTTTTTTTCTCTTTGCGATTTTGATTCCGGCGGAAGGAAAAAAGGTCGCGGGGGACCGATAGCGTATCGGGAAGGCGGTGGGGTTTATCAGTTGCCTTGGATGTATGGAAACAAATACGGAGTATGCAGCAACTTATCAACATTCACTAAGACACACTAACATGCTCACATGCTGGCTGAAATAGTCAGTTATGGATCGAAGTGCTCTATACAAGAACACCGTAGCTATCTTCTTCAATGGAACGATGATGCCGTTGAGATCTGGATCATCCTGACCTCAAGTATTAGGTCATTTCTTGCTTTCACCCCAGTTTTTCAATCCAGCTTCCAATCGTTCCATAAACTCCTGATCCAAGGCCATCTCTTTGAAACTCACTCGCTCAGTTGCCCACTCTAACCATCCTTCAGCTCTGACACCGCTTCTGGCTCGGAGAAGACCTGTGCTCACATCTACGACGCCCGGCCTTTCTTGACAGTGCCAGAACACAGTTGCGCCACAGCGACTGCAGAATTCCCGGTAGACGCCGGGGCGACTCTCATATCGCTGCATTGTCCCCAAGCCATAGACTAGGGGCTTTCCGTCGCCGAAGATGATGTTTGATTTGGGAATGAAAGCCCAGGACTGGATGGAAAACCCACTGGCCAGACGACATGATCGACAGGCGCAGGTCCCAACCAGATATTTGGTATTTCGATCTCGCAGCCACCACTTGACGTCTTTGGTATTCTCTGGGGATGCCAAATGGTAGGGAACAATCAAATCTGGCCAAGGGGACCATGGCTTGGCGGAGTTCGAGTCTGGCGGTGTAATGTAGAATTCAATGCCCCCACAGTGACATCGAGCCTGCAGCCGGTGAGAGTCATGACCTTGTTCCTCAAGCTTGCGGTTTTCCTCGCCGTGTCCTTTACTGATATTCTGCTCGGCGTCTAACCAGCAGGCTGAGGTTGTTTCTTTGGCGTTTCCAGGCAGAAAAGAGCTTAAGCCGCCATCCCGGGTATCGTCAGCTTTCCAATGCTGTATGAACCTAACCGGTGGGGGATTCTCCAATAGAACTCCGGCTGCGACCAATGTTTTGCCAGTGGCTTCCAGCTGGGCGAACACATGAGCTCCACAGGTTTTACAGAAATAGCGGCTGATACACTCCGACTGCTGGTATTTTTGAAGACGATCCAAGTTCGGGCCGGGAGCCTGCAGGAAATAGTAAGAGGAATACAGCATGCCCGTGACGGCCCGACAGTCGATACAGTGGCATAGATTAAGTGTCGACAGGTCAGCAGCTGAGTCAAGCAAAAGGTCTTGCGCTGCATCACCGCACAGGCACGAGATGGGGCGAGTCATTGCGTCCGTAGCCATGGAAGTGACTAATGTTACTAATTACTGCAGACAGTATGGTGAAAACTTTCGTCAAAGTCCCCTCTAGTCATTGTACTTAAGAAGACCCTGCAATTTGCTGCGGGAAATATCTGCGTTTTGTGTCAACGTACTGGTTCTAGAAGAGTCGAGCTTATGGGCAGTTACCTCACCTCTCATGTAAAGATATGTCTCGTTGTAGCCAGGAAAGCCACTCCCAGACTGTGGAATATGCTTACAGGACAAATTATTGGCGACTTCAAGATCATCGACGTGCAGAAATCTGCTCACATCGATGTTGGTGTGGCGGAATATTCGCTGAAGCCAGAGGTAATATGTACTATTCGGGGGTAGGCTAAGAATGGGCAACCTTGGCCTATATAAAAGCAACCCCGCCCGTCGTGAGCTTGGGTTTCAGATTTTGACAACCTCCAAAACCTCACACAAAGGCTTCTCGCGAGACCGACTCGATCAAATAGAGCTATTCCCTTCTCTATATCACTTCTATCATCATCATGAGTAGGTGCCTGCTTCATATTCAATCATTTTATGTCGTCGGCTGAGGGGAAGCGGGGTATTCCTTCCCCTTTGCAATGAGGCTTGGGATATTTGTTTGCGTTCGTCTATTAAGGCTGTCAAACCTCATCTACATTTCTTCTTGCACGAGTTCTTTTGAGATTTCGGCCTTCCAACTGACATGAAGCGTCTTCCTGCTAGGCGACCACGGCTGCACCTGCGGAGCCTCTTGCCAGTGCCCTGCTGGACAATGCAACTGCCCCGTACGTTCACATCCCAATTAATATCTTCTCTATCCTGGACTCCTACTGACAAGGTTATCGGTTGCAGAAGAGGTAGAGCGGATAACGGGTTTTACTTGCTAATACCTCTCGGGAGGAGGCTTCGAAGCTTAGGGGACAGACTATGTTTACCTCGTGGAGATAGAGCAACAGTCTTCGACTAGATTCGAAGCAATAAAGGAAAGAGAATCTGTTTTGCTCTTATTATCTGGTCTCTACTCTTACTCTTGCAAAATATTTGTTGCATATAGTAGTAGTGCCTAGATTCGAATCTGTAAACAACAAATTACGGTATGCCCTGGGTTCATTCTCATTGTTGACCATGAGACATACAGCCCGCTCTATGGTGATTATTCTTAGAAATTCTTCCAGCATACTACAGCAGTTAGTAAAATTCAAATGACGCGCCGAAGGCTGCTTGAAGCCTTGGGACCCTCATCATAAGATCAACAACGTGTGACCAAGTCGCCCGATCCTCTTCCGCTGCAGTGCGACTGTGGGGAGTTGCTTCGAATGTGCCAATCTTACCACTTCATACAGGACCTACTAAAGGCTCAGTGCGCCTGATTCTTTACCTGGACCCGAGCGGATCATCATGTGCGAGTTTTGTCGCGGATCCCGCGGTTGGAGCTCCATATTAGCTATATGCTGTACCTACCATCCATCTGAGTTTTTTTTCCCAGTCTCCATATTTCTTTTGACGTGGTCGTAAGAAGAGGATGGCATACCTCCCTCTAACCTCAGTTGTAACCTCCACTTTCCTTGCGCATGAGTTGGAGGAAAAAGCATACTACCTTTCGAACCAATGGCATGGTTGCAAATCTTGGTGTATGAGGAGGGGTCGATGGAGGGGCAGTGAAGCCGCTTTACCTAGAAGGCTGCCAGTGCAGGAAAATTGCCTGCATAACCGCCCACTCGTGGTGCTCCACAAGCTCACTGCTGCAGTAGGAGAACCTATTATGGAATGCTTCACGGAATCTGAGTAAAGGAAGAGTGGGATGACTGCAGTCCTGAAGCTTCTTGCCTCAGCCTGTGGCCTGGTCTTCTGCTCAAACTTCTACCTGCCAGATCAACACGGTCGAATATTCCTTGCAGATAGCTGCTTAAGAGTGGAAATAATAATGAATCCTCCTAATTATCACAGTGGATTCTCTTTATCTCAAACACCAAGACGCGATATGCATACTGAACTATTGTTCATTACACTAGTACGTACAACTTTGAAACAAATATGTAGGAACTGCTAGGATTTAGTATTTTCGCAAGAGCGTGGTAGATCGTAGCATCCCATTACTAAGAAATCATGATAATAAGAACAATATACTTACGTGGCAGGGAAAGCATATCAGCGATACTTGGCTAGCAAGCTCTCCTCCCTACTTGCTGCCTCACTTTGACACTCGCCTAGAGGCCTGTTCACGGTTCTGGTGTGATCAACATCAGCTACGTAGTACGATGGATGACCAGAGCAACAGTATGCACTTACCTAACTCTTGCCATACCGGTGTATCCTAGATAGCTGCCTAGACAAATCCTGGCTGTGTACCTACAGCGCAAAGCCCAGTGCTGAAAGTGAATGCTGAATGATGCTCTCATAGGTCCATTGCTTTTCTTCTGTCACCTTTCCGTATACCCCCACCAGTATACCTACATACAGCAGTGGCAGTTAGCACCACATTGACCACCAGCAAAGCACACTCAGGAAACCGAAATCAGATTGGATCATCTGACAACAAATCAAAACTGGCGTGGGGATACACAGAAACAAGTTCCAACACTGACCTTTGCGTCCCGAAACAGAAAAAACCAAAAGCCCTGACTGGCTGACCTGACCCTCATATCCTCATACTGACTGATAGCTGACCACCTCCAGCAGAGAGACAATCTCTGGCTATAAATTCAGCCCTGGTCTCCCTCTGTCTGTCATTTTCTTCCTCCTCTTTCTCATACCGAGCCTTATACCAACTGAACAATACAATCTCAAAGCCTATCTTCCTCAAGTAACCCTTCTTTCACCACCAACTCAATCAAAATGACTCCCTGCTCCTGCAACTCCTGCAGCTGCTCCAGCGACTGCAACGGCTGCAAGTGCACCTCTTGCGGTGTATGTATCTCCCAGACATCCGCAGTCGACCCTAATCTCTAGTGAAGCTAACCATCCTCAGCACTAAATTGCACATTAAGCCCACCGGCTCCCATCTTCGAGACGAAAGACAATTATCACGCAGTTCCTGCGGGATTTCCTGACACGATGTCACCAAGTACGCTATCGTTGACGTCGTGAGCTATGCCAAACCGGGGGTTGTCTTGAGGCTCGCGTTTGTGATGTGTTCTTCTTGTTGATTTGCTACCTTCTCTCTGCGTGAGTCCATGGGCTGGCACAGCATGATTGAAGCGACTTTCAGTCGCTTGTTTTATAGCAGGATAGGATAGGGAATTCAAGTTCTATCTTATTGAGAACACATGTACGCCTGCTCACTAACGTAGTCACCATGAGTTTTTTAAAGGTCAACATTTGAGCTCTTATGTTCGAAGCTTGATATGGCCTGGTAAGTGACGGAAATAACAACTAAATTAGCACCTGATGGACCGGCGCTTGTTGGATTAGGAATATATTGCCATGAAGGACGTGGACATACATTTACAGGTGCATATGGATCCTTCCAGACGTTGGTTCCTCTGATTGGAAAACATGCGAATCCTTCGGTTACGCACGGAGTGGATGGAGTACGTCTGTACTCTAAGGTAGAATACCTTCGCGAAGAAAGGGGGGGGGCTTTTCTATCTCACACGTATATGCATAGCGTCTTAGATCAAAGCATAGCGCATAATTACTCTACAGTCAAAGCCCTTAGTCTGATTATTCACCTCACCATGTGTCTGGCCTCTGAAGTCGGCGGTATGTAACTTGGAGTAATATCTGGCAAGGCGGATAGGACTAACCCTCTTATTGAACCTGTACTAACCATAATGCAAGTCGAACGCTATACATCAACCCAAAACCCAGGATCTGATCAACATCCGCTTCTACAATTCATCCTTGCGTCTTGGTGCCACATCGCCTTCTTCTTCTCCTCCCGGACATACAGCCGGGGTGGTGACAATCATGGAATAGACACACTTCTCGTCCTCCGTCACTTTGAGGATCTCGTTTTCTTCGCCACATTCCAAGATGACTGTGGTTGACCGAGCTGGTCCATTCCAGCAGGTCTGCCCATTCTTGTACTCAAGAGAAACCCGTTCCTCGGCCACAATCTCGCCGGTCTCGTTGAGCTCGTCCACGCTGACGGATCCGATACGACCGAATTTACCCATTCGGACAGATGCCCCGCCTTTCTTGGGAATCTGTTTGGTCTCATCCAAGAAGCAATGTTCATACGTGTACTCCCCGGAATCCTTGGAGATGCAAACGCCTTTAAGAGCGCGGAAAACGCCGGCCTTTCCATAGTCGGTTTCAAGATCGGCTTGATGGTTTTTCAGCTGAGTGTATAATTCCGCAAGATTGGTCTTAGTCTTCTCAAGGCCCTCGCGAGCTTCTGTCACTGCCTTGGATTCGGCAGTCGAGCCTTCTTCCTTCTTGGGCAGAATACCGTTGTCCTCGAGGAAGCGCCGCATGGAAATCACTTTATCTTCCACAAAAGACACAACAGAGGGAGGTAGGTAAGCCGCCAGCTTGTAGACTAGATGAAAGGTCAGCAACCGAACCGGCATACGCAATGAATAGCTGAAGCACGAACCTGTATCGGTCTCGTCCTCCTCATTTTCCCACTGCTCCCAGTTAACCCCCGATGTGTCGTCGTCCGGTTTGGCAATTTCATCCAGGTCTCGGTCACGAGCGCTGTTTCCGAGATTGCCCACGTCTTCTCTGGCAGCATACTCCTCCCAACTGCGCACAGCTCGTTTGACACCCTCGTCGTTGAAATTGGGATTGTATTCGATTTTGAACTTGGACAAAATATCCTCGAGCTCTTTTAGCCGCGATCGAGCCTCATCCCTCTCCTTGCGAACCTCTAGAAGCGCATTCCGCAGCTCCTCAACCCGTCCTTTGGCCAAGGAAGCAAGGATGTTAACCTTGCCTGCCTTCTTGCCCCTTACCATTTTGCTCTCTTCTCGCTTCTTCACCTCCTCAAATTCAGCCTCCATATCCTTCACCTTCATCTCTAGTCCCTGGATTTCAACTTCGAGTCTCTTGATGTGGTCTTCAACTTCCTTTTGCTGTCGGCCCGAATCCACGAGCAGTTCCTTCTTCTTCTTGAGGGCAGCCGTCATAGACTTCGCTCTCTTCTCCTCTTGCTTGCGCCATTGCTTGCCAATCTCTTTGCACTTATCCTCGCACTTGGTGCCCCCGACGTGCGCCCACTCGTCACTTCCGTCACAGCAGAACTCGTAGTCGCATATACCGTCATTCACTCGCTGGAAAGAAACATATGACGGTTTATGGCCTTTATTCTTGCAATAAAATCCCGGGAGGGCAAGTGTAAGTTCGAGGTCGCTGTTCCCGGGCCGATCGGCGGCGGTCAGAGGGGAATTACGCGATAAATGAGAACATGCTGACGTCCCAGGCTCGTCGCTGCCATCCGGACAGTCACAGTAATCATCGTTCACGGCAGAGAAGGGGATCTGTAAAGCTGGGTTCGATATACAGGTGAATGTCGTGGTGTCTTTGTAGAACTTGGCAACTGGTGACAGCCAATGGCGCCATTAGCTTCCTTGTAACTTATGAAGGGTCTATAATGATTGTGGTCACAGAGTAATCATAACCAGAGCTTTATGGGGGCTGAATCATCATGGAAGGCGAACCGAGCCTCACATGAGCTACGATTCATGGTAATAGTATACTTACATTCTGGACCGACCCCCCGAGGTCTTGCTGTACCATCGCCCGCGGCAGCCGCAACAGTAGAGCATGCCGCTATGGTCGCAAAGAAGAACACTCCCTGAGAAAGTATCATGATGCAAGCATTGAGCTCGCTCGTCAATGCCTTGTTGTGCCCGGGACAGTTGTTCTATAGGAATGCGGAGAGAGCTTCTGGCCAGCTGTTGATAAGGCCGAGGATCCAATCTGGGGAGAATGGCCCAGCGCCTTAGTCATCCCGCTATCATCCTTCGGTGGCAAGCGACAACTGAATGCGATTGTCGCAACACCTCTCAGATACTCTATATACAATATTTCCTTGAATTAATCACTGCAAAAATGGGTAATGATGGTGGCAGGTAAGTGTTATTGATGCGCTTCATCAGTGTGATCCTCCAGAACTAAGGTCTTGTACAGTATCCCAACTCGCCGCGAGCTCGTCAGAGAGGCCGCAAAAGCTCCCAGCACAGCGCAAGTGAAAGAGGCCCAGCGTGAAATGCAAGAACACTTTTGGACCACCTGTCCATTGTCGCATAAACCTTTAGCTCGACCGATTGTCTCCGACTGTGTCGGTAATCTATACAATAAGGATGCAATACTGGAATTCTTGCTTCCCGGTGATGACGCCCACGGTATCAGCTCTAAAGCAGACTGCGAAGAGATCTTATGCGGGCGGGTGAAGGGACTTCGTGATGTCGTTGAGCTGAAGTTTGAAATCGATACGGAGCGTGGCGAACACCCATCCAACAAGCACGATAGACGCGAAGCATGGATCTGTCCCGTGACTGCTAAGCAGCTAGGTCCGAGTGTGAAGTCGGTCTACCTTGTACCATGTGGCCATGTTTTCTCCGAAGAAGCCATTCGTCAGCTTAAGGACGATAAGTGCCTACAGGTATGTTTGTTGTGAGCCATACCTCAGCGCCCCAACTTGTTGCTAATCAGTCCGGAACGCGCAGTGCAACGAGCCCTACGCCGAAGATAACGTCGTCCCAATCCTTCCACCGAAAGAATCAGAAAAACAACGGCTGATGGCGAGAGCGCAAAAGCTAGCCGAGCAAGGGCTCACTCATTCGCTCAAGAAAGCTCCTGGCTCTAAAAAGCGCAAGAAGCATGCCAATGGAGATTCAGCTGAGACTGAAGCCACTACCGAAGCAGACTCCAAGCCAGCCTTGGCTTCTCAACCACAAAAGGATCGGGCTGCAGCCTCGAGTCGAAGTAATACCTCGACTCCGACCCCCAGTGCATCAAATGGTATCAAGAACGCCTCAACTGCGATGCTGACCGCGCGAGTCCTGGAAGAGGAGAATGAGAAGAAACGGCGTCGGAAAATGATGGGTGCAAACGAGAATATCAGCAGTCTTTTTACTAAAAACTCTGGCGGAGTCAAGACCAGCAACCGTGACTTCATGACGAGAGGCTACACGATGCCCTCTAAGAGATAATGAGCTCTAATATGTGCACTTCCTGAAGGCGTTCGGCGTTAATGGGGTATGCTTGTCGGCTACTGCACCGGCTCTTCTGATAAATTCAATATTCGATAGACGCTTTAAGACATAACTTGGTGCTGTAAATATTCCATAAGAATATTTGATGTATTGTACAGATATTCCCTATTCAGAAGAGAAAGAAAGCATGCTACCTAATAAAACTATATGACATATTTAGTGTAACATTCTGAACCCGAGACACATTTATTCAACGAGGCCTCTTGCGCGAAGTTCAGATTCAATGATCTTCTTCCGACCCAATTCCTCATCCTTGTGCAAAGCTGTCTGTCGCTTGGTAAACAGCTTGACGTTAGGCAGGTGCTGAAGCTCGGGGTTGTTGGCCAGTTGGTCGGCCAACTTGGTGGGTTTCGGGTTGACGACTCCCTCGAGGTATTCCACGGCCTGCTTGACTGTGGAGATGGAATGCATGACAGGATCAGGAAAATAGTGACCGCTCAATTGAGACAGTCTCTTCAGGAACTATGGATAACAGAAGGTCAGCACAATGTCTCATTAGATACTAACTCAAAAGACATGAGACGACTTACGGCAAATTTCGTTTCTGGATCGTTCAATGACAGGGAGAGGAATCCCTTATCCTGCACACTGTGGTAACCGAAGAATGGAGGGGCGGGGGCCTGCGATATCGAATCTTCAACGATTTCCTCATATTCTTCTGTCTCAGCGTCCTCTTGCACTTCTTCCTCGGCTGGTGCGGCGGTTGTATCGGCTCCTCCACCAATCTGCTCAAAGATGTAAACCAGAACATCCTTCGCCTCGTCGTCGGGATAGACCAAAGATTGGCCCCATTGACTCTCTGCATTCGGATCGATCTTGCACTTCCAGATCATTTTGAAGACGGGCTTTTCATGTTCCACGACGTCGCAGATCTTCGTGAGTGGCTTCTTCAGCGCATGCATCAGGCAGAGTTCGACTGCAGCTTGGTGAGCGGCCAAATAAAGGTGCCCCTCCTTGGTCAGTTTCTTCTTGAGCATGAAACTGAAGTCCCTGTCAGATTTTGTTCACTGAAGCTGCCGCGACCGCGAAAAGAGCGCCTATCGGCCTGTAGAGGAAGAGTAACAAACTTACGGGTTGAAGACATCAGCTTCCGTAGGGGGAAGGTCTGACCACTTTCCCAGGTGACCAACGCGAGGAAGACCCTCCCATGTTGTTGCAGGCTCGTAGGTATCAGGTAAGACATCCTCGCTCTGAGATTCCAGAGCTTCAGTGGACTCGCGAGCCGGTTCTTCCTCTTGTTGCCCAGGCTGCTTCTTCCATTTCCGCTCGAGAACACCTTCGCCTCCATACGGATCTTTCAAGCCTGGAGGATTGTCTGTTCCCCAAATCTTGCGGCGCACTCGTTCGGTGAGAGGTGCTGCGTTCGAGGCATTTCGCAGGAATTGACGGACAACGACGGGTCGCGGCCGCACGTCCTGTCTACAGATTGAACAAACGTAAAGTGACCTGGACCCTTGGAGGGGTGATACCTCCAGGTTCAATAGCCGCAGTGATTGACGCATGGCTGAAGCGTTGCGGAAATTGTTGACTATCCACAGCCTTTGGAAAAGTTTCATGATGCCGAGCGATCTTCCGGTAGAGAACATCACGTGACTCAGAGAATAGGTAGTCTTGGCACAACAACCAGTCCATGCCCATGGCTCACTGTTTATGGTTCTGGAGGAATTCCAAACAATCAGTTGGACAGAAGGACAGAGAGATTGCGGAGCATAGCAATGGATATCTAATTTAACGCTATGATTTATATACAAGCCTTTTATCATAATAAAGATACACCGCAATTGAAAAATACCATATGACATGGAATCAACACATTTACTCCCGAACAAACATACCCGCCATACCCATGCCAGTTCCGATGCACATACTGACTACACCAACATCCTGTCCAGTGCGTTGGAGCTCGGGTAGCAAAGTGGCGAGCTGCCTGGCACCGGTAGCACCCAAGGGGTGACCAATCGCAATGGCACCACCCTTGGGATTAACCTTGGCCTCGTCAATTCCAAGCTTGCGCACAGAGTAAAGAGCCTGCGATGCGAAAGCCTCGTTGATCTCCCAGATACCGACGTCGGAAACGTTCATGCCCACAAGTTCAAGAAGCTTGGGTATGGCGACTGCGGGTCCCACACCCATCTCATCAGGCGCACATCCAGCTACAGCGGTGGCAACCCAGCGAGCCTGGATTGAAGCTGTCAAACCAAGTTCCGTAGCGGTAGAACGGCGCATCAACAAAGCAGCAGCGGCACCATCGCTGACCTGTGAGCTGTTTCCAGCGGTGCTAGTGCCATCTGCCTTGAAGGCAGGCTTCAAAGTTGCCATCTTCTCAGCAGAAATGTTATGACGGATACCGTCGTCTTTTGTCACGGTAATCTCCTTGGGAGCCGCATCAGGATTCTCAGAGTCAAAAGAAAGGGTCTTGACTGGCACGATTTCGGCGTCAAACAGGCCAGCATTTTGGGCAGCTGAAGCTTTCTTGTGTGACTCGGCCGCGAATGCATCCTGGTCCGCCCTCGAGATACCATACCGGGCGGCGACGTTCTCTGAAGTAATTCCCATAGGCATAATGCAATCTCTAGCATCCTTGGATGGCGACTCTTTCAATTCAGGCCATAATACCGTTGGGATAGCACGTGACCCGTAGTTTCGGGTCATAGACTCCATCCCACCACCAACGCCGACGTTCAGTGCACCTGCCCGAATTCCATTACCAATGGCTGTAATAGCGGCCAGGCCGGACGAGCATTGCCTGTTGATCGTGTGGAAAGGCACTGAGTGGGGGAAGCCGGCGTGGATCTGAGCCATGCGCCCTGCTTTGGCACCGCCTAGTTCCTGGAGGACCGAGCCGATAGCGACATCGTCAATCAGAGCTGGGTCAAGCTTCGGGTTCGCCTCGAGAGTTGCTTTGAGGACGTGGGTGAGAAGCTCTTCGGGATAAGCATCCTTGAATCCACCCTTCTTCGCGCGAGTTACTGGTGTACGAAGTGCGGAGAGAATGACGATATCTGAAGGGGACTTCTGGAGGACCTGGCGAAGGCCGCGGGGCACAGGAGAAGTCATTTGGACGTCTGTGAAAGTGGTGTGTGGCTGACACAATCGGAGACTGGCGCCTGTCGAGATTAATTCTGGGTTCCCAGTGAGTCAAGGTGGGTGAAGTTGTGTGGCCGAAACAGTGACCATGTATCCTCCGAAATACAAGAAAGAGCACACAAGAGAGCAGGATTAGTTGCTTTCGCCTCAACTAGTCCAGGAAGCTTGGGACCCAGTGAAAACTTATATAAAAGAGGCTACACGGCTGGATTCCGGGGTTCGGGACCGGCCATGCCTAGTCGAGGCGTTGAAGCTGCCATTGAACTGCCGGCAATGAAGTTCGGCTAAGGGATCTGCCGCCGACAGGTGCGGAGGCAATCTGAGGATGGCGGGATGCGGGGGATGTTATCGCTCATAAAAAAAGCGCAACGCGCAACCCTGAAGGCCTTATTGTCATATTCACCTCCCGGTTCATATTGTTCGTATGTTTCCTGCCTACTTAACAATTTTGAAGGTCACCTGGCTCGTCTTACACCATCAAGCACCATTGTCCTTCGGATATCTGGCTGGGGGAAATCCGACCGCTAATCGGATGCGGTGGCTTACATCATCGGTCTCGGATCAGCTTGTCGGAAATGAGAAAACATCAAGTGACTCCAAGAATCTACCTTATATTTACATGTCTTACCTCGCCTGGACCACTTGGGTACGATCGTGTAGAACAGAAAGATCGAAGTTTACATTCATTGGGATTATTGAGCATTGATATATGTGGGTTGCGTGGCCCAATCCTCATGAACATTTGAAGCTGTGCGGTGTCTCTGAATCGTTGCTTCCATGGGTATATTGGTTTCAAGAGCACTCAACAAGATAAATCATGATGGTAAGACAGGTATCATCAGAAAGGTCGTATAGTGGTGAATGAGGGATTGTTGCATGTGAGGTTCTCGTATGTCGGACAAGAGACGTCAGTTGCGGATAATATGGCTGTAGTGGCCCGGAACCTTGCGCAGGCATTTGTCGCAATCAGCTCGAAATCCCATGGCAAAGGATACCTTCTTCTTGTTTAAATGAGGTCCGTTTGGATAGCCGGACCGTGTGGCTTGCTGTTGTGATTCAGTCGTGCCGAACCACTGCGAGGGGTCTCGTTGAAATGGGGAGAACGCCGGGGATGTTGATCGAGATGCACCACTTGTCATCTCGGCATCACTCATAGAGCACTTTCCATGAGAAATGGCATTATCATCCTCGCTGATCGGACTTGGGAGACGCTGAGTGGAACCAAAAATTTCTTGACTACTCTCGGTAGACAGTTTTTCATGAGGGCCAATCTTATCTCTAGACTCCACGAAGGCCTGATCCATCACTTGCGGGGACGGATTTCCTGCGGAATTATGTTCGGACACACTGAATCCTTTAGATTGTTCGCTGATGTTGAGGAACTGATTGACAAGATTGTGCGGGATTGGTGATGGTTGAACGCTTCCGGTGCGAGGCGTGCTGCCTGGCCAGTCATGCGGAATCTCATTGCTAGTCAAGTTATAGGTGTCACCTATGCTGTCGACGTCCATCGTCGTGCTAAATATCGGAGCGGAGGAGTCGAGGATCTGCGGAACACAACGCGAGGTGTTTACGGCTGCCGTTGTAGGATCGCGCAGTGCTCTAGCGATGCCATCGTCGTCATCATCGTCTGACGACTCGGCAGGAGTTAAAGTAGGTATACCAAGTCGACTTGACGCCTGGCAAGCTTCGGTATAGGAGAGTCCTCGGAGGTTATCTGGTGAGGTGCGCAGGGCTAGAGGGCGTGGTTTCTGGACGCGCGACTATCAGTAGTTGTTGGGTGGATGACTGGCAGGCAAAAGAAAGTGCAACATCAATCGGGCAGGCGGCAGGTTTGCCTTGCTTCCACCAAATAAGCATGGTATCACGGAAAGAATACAGACCTTGTTCCCCCTGAGCCCATTGTTATCATCACCCGTCAGCTCATCTGGCTCCCTCTGTMGTTTTGAGAACCCTAACATGACCTTCTCATCATCCCACTGAAAGACGGCGACCCTTCAAAGGTCAAGGTACGTTGTGATTATTCAACCAGAATGGATTAAGAATGATGTTCAAGCCTGCATTCAGTCGAAATGCATCGATTCAAGGGGCAGTGAGAACCTCCCTAACTTGAGGCCAACATACACATCAACAAGGACGATGAAGAGAATGATGCACAGGAAGCAAATCAGTAAGCTGGCATTGTATGGGAGCTCTGAGTAACCTAGTCTGGACTAGTTGGTCACCAATCCACAAGGTACTAAGATCCTAAGACTGAGCTTCCTCTGTGTCTTAGCCTCGAAAGCGGAGTAGCGGACCGAAGTGGAGAACAATTTTATGCTTTGCTTATCTGACTACTTATCGCTGTAGACCACTATATCGATTACCCTACTAGCATTATGCTCATATTACTCCGTACATCTGACCATATTCTCAGTGAACAGAAGTAGCCCCTTCACTTCTTCTTAATTTACAAGATTCATAAGTACCTAGCCTGTGGCCTCCTCGCCCCAGTAAGTTTTAGTTTATAAGTTTGGCTGACTTGTAACCCAGCGTGAACCTCAATCATGTGCACTTCCATATCACGTAAGACTGCGGACGTCATCTGCATGAGTGATGACTGAGAATAGCCATTCAATTTTAGTCAGATCAAGAAACTCGAGCTTACTTCAAATTGACCTCCAGTTATAGAGGACTCCGTAGGGGTCTAGACTCTTTGGCCGACATGTTGTACTACAACAACTCAGTGTTACGACTAAAACAATGTGCGGTGAGATGGATTACAGAATAACAACTAAGGTACCTAAGGTAAAGTGACAACCTTAAGGTACCTTATCTACATCTAATTCTCACAGGATCCATTTTGAGGCGTCGGGTACGGAGAGTAAGGGAATGACAATGGAGTGGCACAAGTTCAATGCTTAAAGTCAGGAACTGACGAGTTAGAAGCGCAGTGTGGACTGTGATAACATAGAGTTTTGTCTCCTTGTCAATTTAATTAACAATGAAGGGTAATGGAGATTCTTCTCGAAGCAGGTAGAAGTTCTGACAGCTCTGTACAACTGAATGGAAGTACCAAGTACTTAACGGCATGGTAATATAGGCTTGACATCCTTAAGATACACTAGCTAGGCTAGGCACTTAAAAGTACTCGGTACCTAGGTACAACAACCAGATTTCATGCGACTGGCCGAGTAATTACAATACTTGTCTTTTAAGTGGTCGGCTTAGTATTTGGTTTGCATGTTTTTGTCTGTGTGAATCATTTTGTTTCCCCACTTAGGATACCCGATCTGCAATTTTACTCTTCTGTTATACCTCTCTCTACTCGTTCCCATCTGGCATAAATAACCACTTCCATATCACCATCTTACCTTGTGACTGGCATCGCTTTTTCAATTGGTTCTGGAGTCTTTTGTTCATTATTTTTTGCTGCTTCCTTTCGGATTTTGACTACAAAAACCACCTTCTCTGTCTTCCCTCAAAGCTCTCAAAAGAACTTTTTTTTTGACTCCGACATCGCTGCAACCCCACGATAAATCATGCCCCTCGTCAAAACTACTGAGGTCAACGAGGACACTCGTGGTAAGTGCTCTTCTTTGTTATACTAGAAAGTACTCGTCTCTCTAATCAATTGGTCTTTTCTCTTCAGTCCTGGGATACGACCCATTGCTTTCCCCCCAGTTCCTTCAGTCCGAGATCCCTGCTGTGAGTCATTTCTCAGTGATTCTCCTTTTCGCTGTTCCTGCCCGAGCCTCAAACAATATGGGACTACAAAATCCTCTACAGAAATGCCAAATAAACCATATTGTGAGAAACATAACAGTGGGGCTGACAAGTTTTGGTACAGCCTGCCCATGCGATTGAGGCAGTCCGATCTGGCCGTAACCAGGCCATTGAGATCATTGAACAACGGGATGACCGCCTCCTGGTTGTTGTAGGTCCATGCTCAATTCATGACCCCGCTACAGCGCTCGAGTATGCAACCCGGCTGAAGGAGCTCTCTCAAAAGCTTTCTGGAGAGCTCTGTGTGATTATGCGTGCCTACCTGGAGAAGCCTCGCACAACAGTTGGCTGGAAGGGTCTGATCAATGATCCGGATATTGACGAAACCTACAACATCAACAAGGGTCTGCGCGTCTCTCGTAAGCTCTATGCTGATCTTACTGGTATGGGAATGCCCATTGCTAGCGAGATGCTCGATACCATTTCCCCTCAGTACCTTGCCGATCTCATCTCTCTTGGAGCAATTGGTGCCCGTACGACCGAGTCGCAGCTGCACCGTGAGCTGGCCTCCGGCCTGAGTTTTCCTATTGGCTACAAGAACGGTACGGATGGTAACCTCACTGTTGCCATCGACGCCATCGGTGCTGCCTCCCACCCTCACCGTTTCCTTGGTGTGACCAAGCAGGGCCTTGCTGCCATCACCAAGACGTCAGGAAACGAGCACGGCTTTGTGATCCTTCGTGGCGGTAACAAGGGAACGAACTACGATCGAGAGAGCATTAAGAGCGCTCGTGAGGCCCTGCGGGCCAAGAAGCAGCGCGAGGTGGTCATGGTGGATTGCTCCCATGGAAACTCGAAGAAGGATCACCGCAATCAGCCTCTCGTTGCTAAGGAGGTGGCAGACCAGCTCCGTGAGGGCGAAGACGCCATTGTCGGTGTTATGATTGAGTCCAACATCAATGAAGGCAACCAGAAAGTGCCCCCTGAGGGTCCCTCAGGACTTCTTAAAGGTGTCAGCATTACGGATGCTTGCATCAACTGGGAAACAACTGTTACTGTGTTGGAGGACCTCGCTGATGCAGTTCGTACCAGAAGGACCGTCAAAGCTTCTAAGTCGAATGGTGTCTCGCAATAAGGGTTCCCGTGAGGCAGTTTCCGAGGCATCTTTTCCTTGGTGACCCATCTAAGCGCTCCTTTTGATTCAGATACCAGGCTATCGTACCATTCCCCACCTAGGGTTTATTTTCTCTTCTGTCAAAATTTGGCGACGATTATCTTCCATGAGCTCTCTAAGTAATTCTCTCTTGGGTTTGGGAAACCAGACTGAAGCAAAAGTTTCCTGAGCCTTGTCTTTCCCTTTGATGATGTTTTTGGGCTTCTTATAACGTTTGATTCCAGAGAGTGCAACTGGCGTTTCAGGCCACAAATCGATCTTCCTTTCAGTGGGTAGACAGCATGCAATGATATAGGAACTCGTAAATGGTCTTTTGTACATATAGACCCACACTTGATGATCTATTTTTAAGCACAGATAGCGGAGCCAAGTGACCAAGGTGGAAGCAGATTATATGTACATAGTAAGAGAGTGAGCCAGTATTACATAGGTCAAGGCAAGGCAGAAAGCTCAAGGGACACCGTATACAGACGCCACAACCCCTGGGAAATGATGGGAAATGAAAGGAGATGAGAGACTGAGACACATGCCATGCAAGAATAATAGGAACAGTCGGCAACATCATCGGAAGATAGAGCGCGGAGAAGTCGAAGTTATGCCCGATTCTGCCTTATTGGTAGGTGTATGTCACTTTCACCGTCCGGTAAACCAGCTTTTCCAGCTTCGTGTTGACTGCTTCGCAGCGGTTTCCACATTCTCAGCAAGAACATCCAGCTGTCCTGGCTGTGCCGGCATTGGCACTGTTTCGGCGGCTGTCCTCGGCTTAGAATCTTCCGCAGCCTTCGCGTTGAGGGCCTCAAGCACTCCCACTTTGCTATCGGCAGCCCCGCCAACCTTTGAAGATAGATCGGACGGGGTCTCGTCCTGCTTTAGCCCACCAAACAAGTATTCCTTGGCCCGGTTCCATGGTCTCTGAGCCTTCGATTCCTCCTTCTTCCGCTTCATAATTTCGCCAATTTCCTCATTCTTGATTAACTCGAGTTGCTCTGGTGTTGCTGACCCGCTGGCATAAGCTGCCTTTGCATCTTGCAGTTTCTGCATTTCCTTCTCAACCCACAACACTCGCTGACGACGGTTGTATAGTGTCAAAGAGACCATAGAATAAACCGTGAGGACACCGCAGATACCTAGTCAGAGACAAACATATTAGCACATCCCGACCATCCCGTAACCTTCGCCTGCAATCAACAAGTCTTGAGCTTGAGGGATTGCTGCTTGGCATGCTTCCTAAACACATACCGGACGCGGTGATCAAACTGTAGACCATAACCTTATGCGCCTTGTTCGCAAATCTGCGCCCTACATCAATCATCTGATCGACGCGCGTGGTTGACTGGGCCAGCCGAGCCGCCCGTGCTTGGGCTCGCAATCGCTCGACCTTTTCCTTCGGAGTCTCTGGTCTTTCGCCGGGTCCCCGTGCTGTGGTTTTCTTGGACTCTGCCATGAAGCTGGGGAGCTTGTACGGTGCCCCGCCGGGCTTGGAGCTGGCATAAGGCCCTGTGGCTGTGAACCGTGTCGCGTCGGCAGCGGATCTGGACATGGTATCGGGACGGGATTTGTATCAATTTTGTTTTGATTCGCTCGTTTTTCTTTTCTGTTTGCCGTGTATAATGTAAACAGGCTCCCCTCTCCAGCCACGTATCTTTTGATGTCAACTCTAGTGTTCTTCCGGCAAATTCCAAGGGCAGCGCAGGTGGCAGATCGCGGAAGCAGCACAAGCCGGGCTTGAGAGATTAGGCCGGAAAATTTCAGCGGAGGGATGGACAGAAGGAGAGCCAAGACCCGCACTTCACCCACTGGACAGATGTCATCCCATACTTCCAGAAGTACATCTACGTCCATCGCTGAGATATTTCTTCTGCGTGTAATCTACGCATTCCTTAAATCCTCTTATGGATATAAGACCGATAATTAACCGTCGTTGATCTTTTCAGCATCTGGCTGTCCGATTGCTCCCTTTCATCCACAATGAATGCGGAGGGATACAACTCCGCAGATCTGACATCTGTTTTGAGGACGCTATCAGCTCTGTCAAATAATCCAAGTCATCAGGATTATCAAAACAATCCTCCTTCTGTCCATATATCGTCTCATCTCCCCGTTCAGCGAAGAACGCAGGACGAGGAAGATGACTCGTATGAGCCTGCAGAAGCTTCACCCCCATTTCCTGTAGCTCAAGTACATTCAAATCAAACTTATCAGAGAACCACAGGGGCTCATGCGCCCTCAGCTAAAGCTCCTCTGCATCCTAATGCACCAAGCAGTATTGCGGACTCTTCTTCCATCACCACATGGCCTGCCGCACTACAACATGTGATGCGGGCAGTATCGCAGAATGAAGACGCACAACGACGAATTCGACGACTGATCCAAAGCCAGCACGACCACGAGAGACAGTGGTGGCAAGGACGAGAAGCTTTGCTCAAGAAGCAGAAGGCTCGTGTAGAGAAGAAGAAGGAGCTAGATGCAGTTCTGTGAGTCATTGCTGAACCATCAATCATTTTCTGTGATAGCCCGTCCAGTCTGTCTAGTGCCATATACATTCCTGCGGCTGTACTGATGTGACATCTCCAGGCGCTCTGTTGGGGCACCGGTTGATGATACAAAACAAGTCTCGGTATGTTCTATGCCTCCTTAAAACGAGAAAAGAAAGAAGAGGACCTTTTTATCGAGACCTAAAACTAATCAAACGCATACGTACTCGTTCAGACAGCCGAAGAAGATCAAGCAGAGTTGAGAAACTACAATGCAAAAGTCTACAGAGCTTCCAAACAAATGGCGGAAGCGATGACATGCGAGCTTCGAAATCTGGGGATTCCCTTCTTCACCATCAAGGAAAGCCTGATCTCTGACGCACCGAGAGCTTTGCAAAATGGAAATTCCAGACGCCATCAATCCGGTGAGTCGGCCAGTCAACACCAGGCCTTGCTCTCGAGGGACGAATTGTCCGTGCTCCAGCGTCGAATGCTGGAGTTGCTGCTAGATCTCTACAAGGAATGAGTCTTTTGTGCTCGCAAGTCATTGCATTCTTCCATGAAATAATGACTTCATTCAACGCTCGTCCAGATGGAAGGACTGGCATTTCACAGCCATGACAATCTGACTCGTGCGATGCACCACTGCTCCGTTGTTGGCTCTGCCCTTTGTCTATATCTCTACCGTTCAGAGGCGTCAGAGGGTCGAGTTAACTTCATTCGGCGGCACTCTAACCCCTCTCGTACGTTATCTTGTGGGCCAAACACAATGAACAGCGATAGTCGACTTGGAAAGACCCGATGCTTTTGATCTGTGGCTATCATTATGTACATCGAAAGTCTAAACCACACACCGCCAGTTCGAACACTCTATACCGGACGCCTCGAGACCCCTGCTTCATCTGTCTCTTCGAGCCCTATATGCAATAGCAAACAAACCGCGGACTCCCAAGTAAAAGAGAGCCGCGTGATGTGGAAACGATGGGCTAGACATAAGCTGAAGATAACAATAACAGTAGACCATACGCAAAACACCGTTAATGCAAGTTGAAAGGCAATGGGAAAAGAGATCAAGAGCATGGAAGACACGTCTCATATGGAGGGTAAAGAGACAACATCGAGTGTTGGTCTCCACAAAAGTAAGAATTTTTTATTCTTACTTCTGATCCGCCACAGCCACAGCAACTGCAACTGCAGCGCCCAAGATAGCACTCTCTGGCGCTAGTTCCAGACGAATATAAGGACTCGTAGCAGGATCTAACGATCCCTGCGACGAATTAGTTTGCTGGGTGAGCTGGTTGAGGTAGTCCTGGCAGCGATCTCTGAAGCCGGGATACTTGTTGATGACACTACCATCACATGCGATTGACAAATTCCGAGAGTCTTCCTCGCTCTCTACGATCGTGATTTCTTGAGTATCCTTGACAGAGGATGCTTTTGATTCTGTCGGATTGGAGAATTCTGCATCATTGCGAAGGCACCACATACTGTGGATCGCGGTCGCCAGATAACCCGCCGCGCGTTTCGATACGATCTGACAAATTCGTCTCAAGAAACGCAGGTCTTCGACGGATGGAGACGCCGGGAACGTATGCTCTTTCTGGAGGAGAGCTGCTGAAGGGACCAGTGATGGTGACGTGTCTGCTTCGAGGAATGCAACAATGCTGGTATCGAACGAGTAAGGGTCCCGCATGGAATGAGGAAGCTCGCCTCCAAACAGGTTCGCAGTTTCGACCGCCTCTGCGAGGATGAGTCGGACAATTTCACCCAGGTAGCGTCCAGTAACCATGTACTCCAATGGCTGGTAATCGGGCCGTAGGTGAGTCCGGTTGAGGATGTCATCCCATCGGGTCATGGGCAAAACTCCACCACCAAACATGCTCAGCTCACTGTTGATAATCACATGCTTGGCATAATCGAACCAGCCTGGCGGTCTGGTGCCAAACTTCGTTAAACCTATCTCGTGCACTGGAAAGTGAATCGCAACATTGGTGCCAGTTCCGAGGATTAGAGACATGCGCGTTTTAGGGTCGACGTACGCTCGCGAAAGAAGCGCTGCGGAACTGTCATTCACTATTGCGTCGACGMGTACGTTGAGGTTGCGTCTCCGGCACGACTGGACGATCAAATCCCCCAACTCCTGTCCAAGCGTGCCGTTGGAACACAAGAAACCTTTTCCCATATGAATCACTAGCCCACTGCTGATGGATGTCTGCTCAATCGGAAAAGACCATGACAATCCCATTGCGAGAGGCATGGCTTCTCGACCATACTCAGCACCCACCGCACTTAGCATTGACTCAATCTTCTCGGCCATCCAATCAAAGAACAAGGTGCCTTCCAACAGCTTCACATCGTTGTCGATTGGAGATAATGACTCTTGAAGAATCTTCATTGCTCCTGCGCCTCCTAATTCAATCAAGGCAACCCGGAATGTCGATCCCCCAACATCCAAAGCCAGATACGTCCCTTTCTCAGTTCCTGACGGCAGGGCATGATTGTACGATGGCAACATGCACACCGGGCTGGACTGTAGGCAGGACTTGAATTGTTCTCGGATCTTTTCTGACATGATAATCATGTTGCGCAAAGACAATGGTGCAGTGAAGAGGCGGTCGACTTCTTCGGCAAAATCGTCGAGCGTCCGACGTCGCCAGTAGGCGCCATGAAAAGMCTTCCGCCGCTTACGCGAGGGATCCCGGAACAAGGAAGGGAACAAGATCATTGCCTCTAATGCAGCGACAATGTTGGAGAAGAGCTCCTGCATCCTGTGCAGGACTTTGACTAGAGGGGCTGTCATGGCTGGAGCGGCAACGATGGTACGCTAGCAGTTTACCTAAGGAGGCCAACAAAAGCGACAATACGTACAGCCAAGTCTGCAGAAGGATAACAGACGGGACGATGTTTAATAGTGGAAGACAAGACGGGGCTGATACCGATTTATACAACGATGCATCTGAAGGCTCGGGCAAAGTATGGGGTGAGCAGAAGAGCAGATAATAGAGCCACTGAAGCCCACCGAGGCCGATGGTGGTTGGAAAGTTGACAGCTCAGCTTCAGAACGAGTGCGTCAACGAGAAAGTGAAGGTTGCCAACGAAAGACCTGGTTCCTTCCTGACAAAGGAGCCCAGTAGCATGTATGAAGAACGAAGGTGACACCAACGAAAGTGTCAAGTTAGATCCTTGTTCGACTGGCAATGTGGAGCCACCTTCTTTCCTTGCAGGTGTCGAGCGGCGAGGTGAGATGGAGAGTAAGGTAGAGAATATGCCCAAGTAACGGAAGAATAGAGACAATCAAATCAACAGAGATGGACAAGACTCTCCACAGAACGGTGCCAGGCGGGAAAAAAGAAAAGTTCAATGCTGCTGTAGTTGCACGAAGGCCGTCAACTTGATGGTGGTGGTGAGATTGTTGTTGTAGAGGTCGTAGCAAGCAAGGTTAGTTTCAGGTCAGGGTCCGTTGTGAGTGTAGAGTAGTATTATTATTATATTATGGAATAGTACCGTAGTAACAGTCGTCAGTCGTAGTCAATGGAGGGTGACGGGGACTATAGATGGTTGGAGCATGGATCAACGCGTGTCCATTCCAGAAGAGATTGTCACAAGGGGGAGGGAGGAGTAAAGGGAACTACTTGAAGCAACGATAACAACTGCAAGGGAGCGAGGCAAAAAAAAAGGATGAAGATAGATGATCTCGAGCATGAATCCAAAAAGAAGCAATGTAAACTTAGAAAAAGAAGAGAAAAACGGAAATAGGGAAAGCAAAAATAATGGGATGGCGATACCGTGATAGATACTACCAGATTATGATTTTGTTTTGGGAGAGTGCAACATAACGGTGCCCATTTGGGCCCTCAGCCTGTCAGATATGGTAGTATGGTATCGTAATTACCTGCCATCATCTGCTACCTTACTTAGGTTCCCTGGGCAGTAATAAACTAACTTGATTCKAGAGAGACGACCAGATGATCCAAATCCCCTTCAGGGGCACGGAGTAAACCACCGTGTATTTCCATATACCTTGATGGCAAGTAGATGAAGGAGTTAGTGGTGTTTAACTAGCAGTCCGTCAAGGTACGGAGTACTACAAGGATATCACCTAGTAGCGTGGTCGATCTCTTGGCTTCCTTATGCCCAATATTAATTTTCTAAAATTTGGCTGAAATCAAGATATGCTCAATGTGTTCAGAAGGTTGACCTTGTCTGCACGACCTAAACATAAATAGAACTAAGGAAGGACATGCTACTACAGGTTCACTACTAAGTACTACCTATCTTCCAGATCATGGTAATCTATACGTGCAATACGCTACGACGAGCAGACTACTTCAGCATACTCCACTGAGATCGGTAGTAGATGCTAAATAAAATAATAGTGAACCAAAGGTACCTAAGTAGTTGTAGGCTGATGTGGTGATCGCCATCAGAGTTACATTCTCGAGGCTCCATACGTAACCAGTCCACCAGGTGTTTCAGTTTTGTCATGACCGTTTCAGTACCGTGTCACAGTCTTCATTTCACTGCTTGAAATCTCTCCGTCGTCTGCAGAAAACAATTGAATATCTAAGACAAAATCCGCCGTATTGTCTACGATCAGAGAGAGACATACACTGTTGAATGTTGATTATTTGCTCAGGAGCATTCCTCATGGTGGCTTCTTCTAGACGGGCTCCTTTATGGGGGCTGGTCAGTAGGTCCGCATATTGTGGTATGTGTGACACTTGATGGTGCAACGGTGGTAGTCGGCAGTCTCTAATCATAACCGCCGAAACTGTTACACTGGCAGCTCCATCAACCCAAATTGCATAGCGATGACTATGAATTGTGTCAGGATCTTCAGACCGTTTCTATTTGGTCATCATAATGCTATATAAATGATACTTTGTTGTTAGGTTCTTCTTCAGTGCCCTCCATGTGCATTACTATGCTTCGTGGTCCTTGATTTGGAGGATCTCTGAACTAGTATGACCCTACATTCCAAAGCGACGTACTCTGCCAAGGCACGGTAGATAGGCTATGCAGGTAGTGTCACTGTGAAGGTATGGTTCAGGATGCTAGGCATACTACTTGCCTGCAACATATACTGATTACATAGGTAAATACTGCTCGCTTACTGATATACTCTCACCTCCCCATCAAGGATAGTGTCTCAATGTGGTGTAGTGCTGTTTGTACTACATGTTGTCATTGCCGAACGCTAGGAACAACGAGCAATCTGGGTACGGAAGATTATCAACTTATCATGTAGTGATCCCAATCGTTTGAAACATCCGCACCTTATCAAGTTAAGACGGCTTGTACAACGCTCTTTGTCGCCACACCCCGTAGGTTGATTGCGTAGACGTAGACTGATGATTCCGCACGTCCTCGAAATCTCGAATGCGCAAAGATGTTGACCTCTCCAATGCTTGGGCGCCACCTTCTAACTACTTGCATTCTTAGCTGTCATTGGTTTGTTTTCATTGAGCCTTTCTCGAAGGATCAGACAGCCCTCGGATCTCGTAATAAATACTAATCTCTGCCTAGTGTGACATCTCACCACGTGGACCGGGGAAGGCCCGTAAGCTATAGTCTGGAGATAACCAACATTACCGGTTAATATGGATTCGATAATACTGAGACTCGACCTTCTTTATAAATGAAGATCAATGTGGTCAGACGTTGCTCATAGAGACTTGGTGGACTGTGGGATCTCAATGCCCTTAGAGAGGTATCTACAACAGCCGATGAAAAATACTTGCCCGAACGTACTCCAGAGAGCAATATACGACGCAAACTTAGGGACCATTAGACGTAGGTTGACCAGGCCGATATCCTCTAGATAATCGACAGACATTGATCACTTTAAGCACTCGCATATCCTGAAACATGAATCGATGGCAACGTGCAAGACAGGCAATAATTGCTCAGCTAAGGACAATGCTTCATTCAGAAACCAGCACGTGCGCATTTACAATGCTATGTGCTAAATTTGGTTTCAATTGCAACTATGCTATGTATGGGCCCTAAACTTGAGTGCAACATTGTGAGACACGTCAGTGATTCTGATCTGGCCTGATGGACCTCCTTTTCGGCCCATGACTGCATTAGTGTATATACCTATGACATGCCCCCAGAAAAATAGTCATCCAATGGAATCTCATATTATGCACAGTCCTGATGCTGCCTTTTGATGCCAAATATGCCTAGTCTCTTAGCGTCCGTCATTTCAATGATTTGACTGATCTTGACCATAGAAATTCGAGACTGCTATTACAATCTTCAAGCCTTCTTCTACCTAGAAAATCATATTCAGCAACAGAATCTTGATCTGGGGTGCTATTCGCGTCTTTCTGCTCCAATGAAGTACCCGCGTCTGAAGTAGTTCGTCCTCCATAGATCGCTAGAGGCCTAAGGTAGCTGTCGACAAGTGCTGTGATAGATGTTGAACCTCAACAGAAGCCATACAAAGATCTCTTCGTCTGTCTTGTTGACAGCTCCACATGGAGGATAATGTGAGGATGTGGCCATGGGTGTATTGAAATGACATCAGAATTACAGCAGCGGAGCATCAGGAGTTTATTGTATATCAACCACTTCGTATATCTTCCCAGTTCTTTGATGCATCATCAATTCCTTAACAATTATCAAAACTCAGATTTTCTAGTCGTCAGATTGAGTCAAAAATATGTCGTCCGAGCGAGTTAAAGACAAAAAGGGCGAGACTATCAATGAGGGTGACTATGTCTATACCCGCTATCGGGGCGGATCTCATGAAGGAGAGGTACGTCGATCTTCCTCTACGCTTGCCTCCTTGATCAATTTTAATAGAAGAATTCCTCTAGGTCGAAAAGATTGTGAGGGATCAAGCTGAAGCAGATGAGGAGAACGTCGCGAATCCCCCTAAAGTACGGAACGATGCGATTCCGCCTCGACTACCCCTAATACATCGTCTTAGAGTCAACGACGTAAATGCTAACACTCAAAGGCTATCTTCACCGATCAACATGGACATCGGGTTGCCCACAATCCCAGCACGTTGGAGAAGACCGGATGATGCCTCCGCCATCTGCGCACGCTCGCAACCCACTTTTCCGCAAGTTGGCAGGACAAATATCGTCTGTCCTTGAGCATATCTTGCTGCCTATGACGGGACTTACCTTCCCTTGTTATATGCTCCGAGTTACATCCTTGATCGCTTCCCCACCTGTTTATTATCCATCGGGTTACTCTTCTTCCAGTTTGCTGCGCAGAGTGCAAGTATGGCCATCATATTTGGCAGACGATACATCAAAACAACGAACCAAGAAGCGACATAAGAATGTATGAATATTCTGCTGCGTACGCTTCATTCCAACAGTCAAGCTAGATTAAGCTTACATGCGACATCGAGCTTCCCGGAGCATTCTGGAGATCGCCGTAGGATGATCTGATCACAATCAACCTAGGTTAACAGCTCTGAACTTTGCCAATCGTTCCAGAAGCTCATGCTTTCTTTGCTGGTATTCAGTACTGACAAATCAATATAGCACTAACTATCGATTATAGCAGGGGCTGGAGAGTTGTTGCCTGATGAGCTGTGAGCATCGTCAGCAATACGGGGTGGGTTCCCCTCAAATGTGGGGAAGTGCTAACTGCCAATGCCGCAAAGGCTGAAGAAACCCCGGCATTCCCCCAGCTAAGAGCGCTGATCACATGTGAGTGAATCAGTGCCTCGTTCGAATCGTCCGAAGAAGAATCGAACTGTTCATTAATATCGGATTCTTCATGGAGTGGAAGGACCCAAGCCAAAGTGTAGTAGGTTGACTTCGGGATCCTGCCCTTGGCTTGTATCTTGGCGAGGGACAATTCTTCGTCCTGATGCCCTAACAGAGGCCCCGGGTCTGCCGCGAAGATCCACTTGGGCCAACCGACCTTGAGCGTAAGACAAGGAGCAACGGAACTTCATCTGACCGACGATCTTACCATTGGCCTCTTTCCCCTGGCCCTTTTGCTCAGCATGGCCTGACGCTCTCCCGCGCCCCGTAAGGTCGTGGAATTGGTCAATGGAGTGGTCACGCACACCTGTTAGACCGCGAAGGATCAGCCACCATCAAGAAGAGAAGTCTCAATATTGAAACTAAAATTCGAAATATGACTGGGAGGCCGAGGCATTTCAGAGAGGGGGAGGCAGCCCGTATACTTCTTTTCTAGAGAAAACGGAAGATAAATTGCCTGCTGCCCTCCCCCCCCGGAGATGCCTCAGTCAAGCTGGTTACCGTCTCAAGGCGTTTCCACTCAGCGGCAGCCGAATCAAGATGAGGTGGAGTTCCTTCCTGAAGGCAGCCGTCCTGTACAGGGCAATCTTTAGTCCCTTGGTTTCTGGTGCAGCCCTTCCTCGCGGTGCCGTCCCATCCGCTTCGGATTCAAGTCTTGTTTCGACTCTATCTACTGCTGCCAATGATTCTTCAATCAAAAGCGAGGCTCAGAGCACTGTCTCCTTAATTGTGTCAAAGATCGACGAGACTGAGAACAGTCGCACGACCAAGGACGATGAGTCTGTGCAGGGAGCATTCGACAAAATTCAATCCATCTTTGCAGATGGCACTCCTGATTTCTTGAAAATGGCGCGAGAAATCCTCGCGGTGGGATTGATACCGGCCGACATTCTCTCTTTCTTGAATGGTTACCTCAACTTAGATCTCAACTCGATCCGCAACCGGAACCCAAGTCCGAAGAACCAAGTCATTTACCCGACCAAAGCTCCAGGAGATGCACATTACTCAGTTGCAGAAAATGCACTGCGGGCAGCGATTCATATCCCCACCTCCTTCGGCTATGGCAAGAATGGAAAGAAGCCAGTGATTCTGGTTCCGGGAACTGCTACACCCGCTGGGACAACCTATTACTTCAACTTCGGCAAGTTGGGAAGCGCCACAGATGCCGACGTGGTTTGGCTCAATATCCCTCAGGCCTCGTTGAATGACATTCAGATCAACTCTGAATACGTCGCTTATGCAATCAATTATATTTCGGCCATTTCAGAATCCAACGTCGCGGTTGTTTCATGGTCCCAAGGTGGACTGGATACTCAATGGGCACTGAAGTACTGGCCATCCACGAGAAAAGTGGTCGATGATTTCATCGCCATCAGCCCTGATTTCCACGGGACGGTCGTGAGGTCACTTGTGTGCCCGTGGCTAGAAGCGCTTGCCTGCACTCCCGCACTGTGGCAGCAGGGGTGGAACACAGAGTTTATCAGAACTCTGCGAGGCGACGGAGGGGACTCTGCATATGTTCCCACAACCACGATCTATTCCACATTCGATGAGATCGTACAGCCCATGAGCGGCAGTCAGGCGTCCGCCATCCTTTCAGACTCACGGGCTGTCGGTGTATCTAATAACCACCTACAAACCATCTGCGGTGGCAAGCCTGCAGGAGGGGTTTACACTCATGAGGGTGTCTTGTACAACCCACTCGCATGGGCGTTAGCGGTTGATGCGCTAACCCATGATGGCCCGGGCGATCCATCACGGCTGGATCTTGACGTGGTGTGCGGGCGTGTGCTACCACCCCAGCTTGGCTTAGATGATTTGCTAGGCACAGAAGGATTGCTGCTTATCGGATTAGCAGAAGTTCTTGCGTATAGACCCAAAACCTTTGGAGAGCCAGCCATTGCGAGCTACGCTCATTGAGGGGCGGAATAGCGGGTAGTCGCAGTCGTGCGAAGTAGGTTGATGCCCTCAGCGAGGTTTTTGGTGTGGATAGACATCATGTTAGGGATTTTGTTGAGCCCGAGGCCGTGGCCCTGCATTTTTTGTGAATAGCTTATGTAAATAAAAATTTGGATAACTAACGTCAATTCATGGGCGGGTCTTGACAGTCCGAATCGAGTCTGCTGTCGGGGCGAATTGCCTGATCAGGACTAATAATATAGGACATGAAGCCGAGTACAGATAGCAGTGATCAGTGAGAGGAGTCACTCCGTACCGAGTCCATTTCCGAAGGAGCTGTCACGTGGTGCTCCCTCAACTAGAGACGGGCGACGCAATGCTTTCGCTTCGAAGAACTCAAAACAGATGAGCAACGTATGAATGGTTCCACATCCTAGGTAGAGCCTCGGTGGATTGCCTGATCCACTTCGCCTGACATAGATATGAGTTGATGAAGCAGTACTGGACTGGAACCTCGAGAGATCAGCGGACGGGCAAAAGGCTAAGGCCAAAAGCCAAGGCCACCAAGCTCTGTGGACAGTGGAGCATGGCCACGTCCATCAATGATTTACCGTCCAATAGACTGGATAATCTGCGGGTAACCGCCCGTAAAGCTTGACAACTGCCATTATTGACGCTGATAGACTTTCTTTCGAAATTTCCGATGGCTGCGGTTCCTCAATTCCGCTCGAGACGCCAAGATGACTGTTAGGTATGACTGTTGTAGGGAGGCACAGAGGATCGAAATCGCTTGGTCTTTTGTGTCTCAGTCCAATCTGGCTACTAGTGATGAAGAATTATCCTCCCCGATCGGGTTTCAGCTGTGACAGAAAAGGGGACCGAGAATGGGCAGTATCACGACGCAGGCCGTGCAGTTTTCGACCGGACTGGACTAATTGTTGAGGCTGCCAATGCGTTATGGGCCACTGTACACGAGTAAGCATACGTCAATCGCAGAACTCAGCCATCACTGTTTGGTTCTCAAACCGCGAAGTTCGCAATCTGCTCCACTGCCCCCAACGTCGCCAAGAATGTCCGCTTCCTTTGATTGCCAAATCCCATACCAGATCTTGCGTGGTTGCAGGAGTAGGCACCTACGCTTTGTCTGCTCCTGAGTTCCTACGGAGCACAGGAAAACTTGCACCGATGTGGATGATCGTATGTGACTCTAACGTAAATCATGTCGCCCAACTTCTCCACCACGGAGTGCTTTAGTGCTCCTGGAAATTTACTCTGTACACTACTGTAGTCTCTTCAATCTGCTCTGGCGTTCCCTCGAGACCTAATATCCTTTCCTTTGCTTCTTATTCTCACCTGCTGTCTTTTTCACGGAGATTTCCTCCCAGCCACTCCTTGAGCATGATGTTTTTCTGGGTCTTGTTTCTACTTCTCTTCCGCAATGGGGTTGCCGATTCTGACGATGATTTGATGTCCTTTGTTACGGTATGTCCTCCAATAACGAGCTGAATGATCTTGGACTGACACGATTAAGCTTCCCGAAGTTAGAGCGCTAAGATACGATGTTGCTTACTACGATCGTGAAGCTGTAAGCCCGGGGTACTGGTTCGTCGCGCCATATGGCGCGATTGACCCAGAGGCTCCCAGCAAGCAGTGGAAGCCATGCCAAGTCGGACCGTATATCTATGACGCAGATGGGGTATGTGTCTCTCAAGGACGTGAAGCATGGACCCAACTCACGAGTCTAATTCTGGTCAGACCCTGATCTGGGCTGGTTCATGCATGTTTGGCAATCGAAATATCTTCGATTTCAAGGCAGTGCACAACATCGATGATCGACCTCATCTCTCGTTTATCCTGCAGCATGCGTATCACGATGATGGCAGGGAAAAGGGACTAGGATATGTCCTTGATGAGCATTACGAGCCAGAATATGCCGTTGGAGTGACAAATGATCTTTCATCATTCAATATGCACGAATTCAACATCCTCGACGGCGGAAAGACAGCCCTAGCTTGTCTATACCGTCCTGAGTACATGGATCTTGGAGATCTGGGACGACCGGATGAACATGGCTGGGTGATGACAGGTGGTTTCGTGGAATTGGATTTAGCTACCGGGGCTGTACTCTATGAATGGAGCTCTGTCGGCCACATCCCCATTCATGAGTCTGTACAAGTGAATCCCTGGGATTCGCCGTCTGCCCAGCCTGGCTGGGATTACGTCCATGTCAACGCCGTGGATAAGAACGCGGCCGGTGACTATATCCTGTCCGCACGGTTCACAAACACAATCTACCTCATTTCCGGACAAGACGGACACATTCTCTGGAGACTTGGGGGAAAATTTTCGGACTTTGAGCAGGATTTCACGTTCTCTAAGCAGCACCATGTCCGGTTTGTCGAGTCAAATGGAACGCATACAACTATTTCATTCTTGAACAACGCTTCGGATGAAGGCGGGCAAGACGAAGACCATTCCGCTGCTCTCTTTGTGCAGGTGGATACCAGTGCATCCCCCATGACAGCACGACTGCTCGACCGTTACAACCGCCCAGATGGAGGTCTCACACGGCTCCGTGGGAGCGTTCAGCGCTTGCCAAATGGCAACGTCTTCGTTGGCTGGAGTGAGCGAGGCTACCAAAGCGAGCACTCGCCCGATGGCAAAGTCCTCATGCAGGCCAGCTTTGCATCAACTCGCTTCTCTACTTACCGGTCGTACAAATTCCCCTTCGAGGGCCGTCCTCTGACGCCCCCGGACGTGGTCTCGACAGTGTACGGTACAGATGAGACAGACCTCACGACTATCTTCCACGTCAGCTGGAACGGAGCGACAGACATTGCCACGTGGAATTTCTATGCCCGCAAGGAGCGGAACGGAATCCCCGTCTTGGTCGGCAATACCACCAAGATCGACTTTGAAACTATGTACATCGCTGACGGATACCTGGACTGGGTCTCCGTGGAAGCAGTGGATAAGGACGGGAACGTGCTGGGTACTTCTGCCATTCATCGCACCACTACACCAGACAATTGGCGACTGGCGGGTTTCGAGGGCGAGGAGAAGCCCACACCCGACGACCCTTCGTTGCTGTACAGTTCGAAGCTGTCCGACGAAGACGACGTTGCGGATTCTTACAGCACGGTCAAGGAAGCAGCCAAAGCTGTAAACCAAGCGTATGAGCTTATCCAAGGGGTTGGGGAGCTCCTGATTTTTGTTTTGATTGCATGCTCCATGAGCGGGCTCATGACTGGCATTTACTTATTCATCCGGCGACGTCGTATGCAGGCATACCACACAGTCCCATCCGATGAGGCTCAACCCACAGACGATCTTGCACCTCATGGGAGCAAATAAAGGAGGTTGCATACTCGAGAGTTGCGAATCCCACAGATGCATTGTGGTGACCTCGATCTTGACGGCCACTTTATCCATCATCCTCCTTTGTTACGCTTGCCTATAATCATGGCTCATGTACATATCGATCATCATCGCGTTTCCTTATACATACTTGGTAGAATCATATACCTGAACTTTTGTTAAAAAGAGACTATCTACTTGCCTGAAACATCTACTGATGCCGACGTACGACTGATCCTTCTGCAAATTCCAACCATTTCTGTCTCAATTTGCCCATTCCTCCATTGGCTCGACCCTCCTCCCGCTCCTCATATCAACCCCAGTGCTTCACGCCGTGAACAGGTACCAAACAAACTAGAACATAAGTCTTAAAACCTTGGCTTTGACAGGCCCCGCCAACTCCCTCGCCAGTCGTTCATCTTCGCGAATCTGAAAAGCTGTTGGATCCATAATCTGTTCCTCAATCTCCCGAGCGACTTTCTCAAGCTGGTCCTGTTTGAAGCTGCCCATGTGAAGTCGAATATCGACCCAGTCGAGTCGTGGTCCATAGCGCGCAAAGGCAAGCAGCGGCAAGGACCACCGCTCTCCAACCTGAAGACTGATGGGCCAGTCTCGAATTTTCATATCGATATGAAGGACACGCAGCGACTTGCAGTAGACAGTCAGGTCATCGCAGGCATTGTACCACGCCATGTCGCTCATGCACTTGTACCATCGGAAATTCAGCAGCGCAGGCTCGCTGTACATGGTATGATTGAGCTCGATGTGCTGGATCGCCATTTGAGCTTCTTTGTTGGTGACCTTCAAAAAGCGCATTACGGTGCGAGTCGTGTTGAAAATGAACTGCGTCCTGGAGTAGAACAAGCACAGTGTATCACGATAGATGCTGCGACATGTGATCAGAAGCGCGATGGGGAGGGGAGGACAAGTAAAACGTCCTTCACTTGGGGGTGCGACATGTGTTTTTGGATCGCGAGGTCGCAGCTGGCGATGGTAGAGGCGGTAATGAACTCGCTTGATGTTGTTTTCTGGGTTCTTGTCCCGCGAACGCAGGACTTCGACTCGGTGAACGTCAAATACGAGTTCATAGATCCTCCAACGTAGCTCACCAGGAAGACGCTGAAATGCCGAAGGTTTAGCGGGTAGAGTGTTTCTCACCATGGCAGGTGCATCCCTACCTGGGCCTTGGTAGAAGCTCTTCTTTGTGGGACCGAATTGCAGAGACCGAGGGGAAAGGACACGGTCTTCCTCTGGCTTAAGCTTTGACGAAGAACCAGGGTATGCTAGGTAGTTGTTAGAGACGGTCTGTTCACTTCCAAAGGCTTGGTAAAAGTGGATTCTCACCTTTGACGAAGTATTTTCCATCACGGTTTGGACTGCCGGTCTGGTAAGCATTCGAAAAGGCATTACTCGCCTTGCTGGTGAGGCCATCGGGTACAGAGACTTTCACATTCCCCGTGGACGCAATCCGTGGGTTCTGCAAATTCCCAGATTTCTATTGGGTATCCTTTTGTCAGCTGGGTTACGCTCAATCAAGTCAGAAGAGCAAGAGGACTGACATTAAGATCGTGCTTTCGTCCTCCGGAGGGAACGTTTCTGTATCCGCCTCTGCCACGGGATGCCTAGATTACCGTCAGTGCGTCTTAGCTTGCTTAGACTGAGGTGGAAGTCCAACTGACACTAGGTTCGGAGCTCTCTGCTGGAAAGCGGGAGTTGCTGTCTTCAGGAACGTGTGAATCCAAGTTGGGTTTGTTGGATCTACCGTCTCTTCCTCGGCCGAATCTGAATCCCCGGCCTCCTTGCTGACCTCTATTTTGCTGTTTTGGTTTTGCCATGGCAAGATAATGAATCGCTGATACACAGAGGGTGAAGCGTGGTATGTTGAGAGAGTGTGTATGTATGTAGAGGTAGAGAGAGAGAGAGAGAGAGAGAGAAGGAGGAAGGAGGAGTTGAGGTGCCTTGAGGAAACCAAGCTTTAACAGAGAGCATACCCACGATCAAGTTCAATTGAATCTAAAATACTATAGCACACATCTCACAAAATGATGAGATCTAAATCATTCACTGCTCCTGACTCCCTTATTTTCCTCTTCCTAGTCGGCCAGTGCAGAATAGACTGAATAGTCTGTCAATAGTTGCTGAACATTGCACAACTCCATGACTATTTGATTGTCTGTTTATCAACCAATTGATGCGTTTATCTCAAAGTAGTATCGCTATTATTGTCAGCTCAAAGCAAGCTGATTGTGTTGTCGTCGATCAGTATTCAGTCAGAGGGACCGCTGCTCTGAAGAAGTATACAAATATCACGCTAAGCCACTTCTGGACTGTGGCATGCCTGATTTTTCTGTCCGCCATCTACGTGCTGTTATTATTAGAACTCATTTTTCCGTCCCATCACAGAAAAGGCTCTCACTGCTCTTCTTCATCGGCCTCCCCAGCTCAGGTTGTTACTTAGAACCAAGTCCAGTTTCAATTCTATTCCCAAAGGAATGTCTTTTTCTTCTGGAGCCCTGCGATCCTCCCGCCTCTCTACTCGAGCTCAATTGCCGCCGATATTGCATCCCGTGAGATCATCACCGGGACCCCACCACAACCACAACCACCGACAGCTGCAGCATCACCGCCGCCCCTATTCCTCCTCCTCCTCCTCTTCTAAACCTGACTCTTCTTCCCCATCTTCCTCTCCGTCCTCCTCCTCCTCCTCTTCAGGGTCTCAATACAGCCGCTCTCAATTCAAAATCCTCCCCTTCGTGACTATCTTCGCCATTGGCACCGGTTCCTACATCCTATTGGTGAAATCGCGCACAGGCGTCCGCAAGCCGCAATCCAATCAATAAAAACACCCACCACCTCAATAACAAGCAAAATAAAACATGGCCAACACACAGAATCCCCCAGCCGTCCCTCCTACACAACCCGCCCCTCCTCAGGCCTCGACGAACACCACCCCTCGCTTCTCTCCACAGGATGTCACCGTCGTTTTCCTGCTAGGTGGACCGGGCAGCGGCAAGGGCACGCAGTCCGCCAACCTGGTCCGCGACTACGGTTTCATCCATCTGTCCGCAGGTGATCTGCTGCGCGCGGAACAGGTCCGCGAGGGAAGCCAGTACGGCGACCTCATCCGCACCTACATCAGAGAGGGCAAGATCGTGCCCATGGAGATCACTGTGGCGCTCCTGTCGAACGCCATGGCGGATGCGTTGGCGGCGGGTGCGGGCTCTACCGCTGATGGCGGGAAGAAGAAGGCCCGGTTCCTGATCGATGGGTTCCCGCGCAAGCTCGACCAAGCCGTGTTCTTCGAGGATACCGTCTGCCCGTCGGAAATGACTCTGTTCCTGGACTGCCCTGAGGAGGTGATGGAGAAGCGGCTGCTCAAGCGTGGGGAGACTTCGGGGCGTGACGACGACAATGCCGAGTCGATCCGCAAGCGGTTCCGCGTGTTTGTTGAGACCAGTATGCCGGTCGTACGGGCTTTCGAGGAGCAGCAGAAGGTCTTGTCTGTCTCCGCTACGGGGACGGTCGATGAAGTGTATGTCAGAATCAGGGAGGGACTCGAGAAGAAGGGTGTCCAGCCCATCTGATGGAACTATGTTGACTTCGGCATTTGACCGCCAATTGTTTCCGATCTTCCTGCATCTTCCCCGTCGGATTGAATATATGTCCGTTTGTTTATTTGAAAGAGAATTCGCGTTTGTGTTTATATAGACATATCCCATTTAGTCCACCTTGTCAGAAACAAAGCGTCCAGTGTCTTAACCTGTCATACTAGAGCCAAAGGATATACAATTTCTGTCTCCAACATATTACCAGAAAGGATGAACAAGACATGATTCGTGATTGATTGATCTGGCCCATTCCTAACTACTAACATGCGTCCAGGCCTTCCCGTCTCTAAACAACAGAAGTAGCTACCATATGAACATTGTGAAAATGGAAATAAGAGAAACGGACGGGAAATTCGAACAAAAAGAAGGGGTCTCCTGGTTCACATGAACAAGACAAGTAAATAAAGCAAAGGACACCCCAATCATTACTTTTCATCTTTTTTTCATCTTGTGGCGACAAAGTCTATTGCTTTCTCCTGCCTCGCTGCAATCCTCGTTCCCCTCAGCAAGTAATCTATTCAGCACCTCCAACCAACTCAACCTCCCGAGCCTGCTGTGGTTGTGAGGGTTGCGACTGCTGTTGTTGCTGGGGGTTACGTCTCCGGTCACCGCCCTTGGCTCCTTTCTCGCCCGACTTGCCCTGACCGGCTTCCTCAGCCGCGGCCTGCATGCTCTCCCGGATATAGCGCTCCCGCTCGGTGCGGAGAACACCCAGCACACTCTCCAGACTGCGGCGCCAGACCATCAGACGGCCCTGCACCTCCGCCCACTGCTTCTCACCGAATACACGGTATGTGGCTCGGTGCACCAGGAACTCGGAACGCAGCTGAGACAGCTTGCCCTCAACCAGACCAGCCCGAATAGTGTCGATAACCCACTTCTCCACATCTTCAACGGGCACGCGCAGCGCCGAGGCGATGGTAGCATAGGGGAGGGAGCGAGAGGGAGTCGAAGCCGCAAGCGAAGCCAGGGTCAACAGGCGCATCTTGGTCTGCAGAGCCTCGGCGCCATCGGCCAGAACACCGCCAGAGATGGAGTCGAGAGGGGTGGCCGCGACGAAATCCTCGTAGGCGTCCAGAGTGTCGGCGGTGAAGATCTCCAGCAATTCGAAAAGGGTGCTGTCGCTGGAGCGAAGAGCCTGGATGGCATCGGCGGCGGTCAACGAAGTGAAATCGAAAACGCCGGGGCTCTTAAGGGCGGAGGTCAAGGCACGGACGGCCAGGTCGCGCGCTTCCTTGCTGGAGGCCTCGTTGGCGGGGATCGTCTGCAGGGCCTGCACCACATGAGTCTGTGCCAATTCAAGATCGCCCGAAGCCTGAGCGGCATCAGCAACGGCAAGGTGCAGCTTCTGAGCATCCTCATCATCCAACTCCCAGGCCGACAACCAGGTGGGCAGCTGAGCGGCCAGCTGGGGCTTCAGAGCCTCGAAGGCGTACGAAGAGCCGGACTGGCGAATGACGGCGACGATGGCCAGGAGAACGTGGAAGCGGCTGGAGTCCGTGGGCGTGAGAGTGTTGAAGATGGTGGTCAGAATGGAGATTGCGAGCGTGGGGCCAAACTGAGGCGAGGTAGTGATAGGTTTGGCAAGATAGGTGCAAATGCGGGAGAGGAACATATCCGGGTTGGAGGCCTGGTGCACCAAGTGCACGAGGAGGTTGTAGGCGGAAATGATTTCTAGTTGCAAGATTGCAAAGGTCAGCCTTTCTCAGCTCCTTCATCTTGTCTCGATCCCCCGGGATTCATCTATAGCAACCCGCCCACACAAACTCACCCTTCTCTGGAGCCGCGTTCAACACGGCCGCGGCACCCACCAACTTCTTCAGCACTTCATCGCGCTGTTTGCGATCGGGCTCCTCCTCCGACTGTTCTTGCTGGCGAAGAGGCTCAATGAGGGGAGCGATTTCGGATTGGAGGCTGGCGCCCTCGTTCTTGCGGAGGGCGTCAATGTACTGGGCGAACTCATCGGCGAGTTCGGTGAAGGTACCCTCGATCAGGAGGGTGCTGGTAGGAGCGGGCATAATGGGCGTAGATAGGGGAGGGAGGGAAGGGGAGAGAGAGAAGAGAGAAAAGGTCTAGAAAAGAAAAAGAAGAGAGGGGCGGAGAGAGTCCCAAGAGGCTATCGATATTCGATAAGTTCGATGATGCCGGGAAGGGCGAAATTTCAGTGTGGGCGAAACTCTTGGCGAATTGGCCCTTTTTGGTTGGAGAAAACACCTGACAAAGAGACGTCTAGAGGTGGACCGAACTGATTCAGCCCAACCACAGACGTATTTCTTTAAATAAATTCATCCTTATCATCGATTTACATATTGTTTCCGTGACGATTCAGCAATTTTTTCGAGAAGCAAAATTTTGCAGACTCAGGCCCATCACCACTTGCACAGTTCGCCGCAGAGAGAGCAGTCCAGAGTACTTATCACTCTACAAGCCGGATTGTGGTCCAAGGGCATCATCGCTATGGTTAAAAGTTCAGGAGCTACCAGCGCATCAAGTAATTGATCGGGTCGTACCCGGAATTAGTCAATTCCTAAGCGCCAACAGGTATTTGCAGGCTCCGATTAAGGACAGTCATGAAAAGCGTATAGTGCATACAGGATCATAATATCACAAATGGCTCAATTACGAGACATGAACGCGGGGGAATATTGCGATTGCAGTGCAGAGTCAAGTGTTCGAACAAAAAGGTGCCCAAAAGAGGGAACAGGCATTAGACAGAGAAGTCGACGGTCGATTATTCAATCTCCGTGGTTGTCTTGTGCGCCCCATGGTCGCATACTCAAACGGATGTGATAAGTATGGTCATGGTCGCAAAGTTGGCACACCACCCCATTTACAGCAGGAGACGAGCCGCAAAGAAGAGCACGGTCGCCATCACACCAGTGGCGTGCTCTCCGACCAGCCGAACGGCAGCATTGCTGGCATGAGCGGTAGCACTGCTACTAGTAGTAGTGGTGGCCGTGGCAGTCGACTCAGCCTGGTTTCCGGTCGCGCTCTGCGTGGCGGTGGAAATAGCGGAAGAGGTAGTGGTCGATGAGGAGGTAGAAGAGGCCGTCGCGTTCAGTGTGCCGCACTCTTTCTGGGCAGTCGTACACTTTTCATCCTGATCCTGAGTCGAGGAGGCAGCGATGCACTGCTTGTAGGTTTCCTGGCAGACAAAGAAGGGGATGGTCTGCATGTACGGGGACACATCGGCCTCGGTACCGTTGCTGCAAACGCAAGAGAATTGAAGAGTGGCCTGTCCATTATCGCATTAGTTTGGTGAGGATTGAGAACGGTGGCTTTTCAAGTTCGAAACATACGGCATCACATGAATTGCTGTCGGCGATTCCACCACAGATACTCGGGCAAGAGTTCCGCTCAGCGAGACACCAAGCAGCTATGAATCGTCTCCATGTTAGTCAATTGACCACTTAGGGTGACGAGCGACCTCAGTAACGAACCTTTGTCAGTAGAGCTAACCTGGGCGAGGTTGAAGCCCGCGGGGAAAGTGTAATTGTTGTTAGCAGCAGCGGCAGCTACCAACGTGGACAAGACAATGGCGATGGAGCGCATGGTGGAGAAAGTGAAGATCGTTGATTATGTGAGAAGATCGACAGTCAATTGATAAGGTTATTGAGGATGCAAATAATCCTAATCGGATGAGACTATTATTGCTAATGACGACGACGACGACGATGGAGAGAGAAGAGGGAGGGAAGAGAAGGGAGAAAGGTGGAAGAAGAGGAGGAGGAGGAGGAGGAGGAAGAGGGAAATAAACAAGAGGGAAAGTTCAGTTCTCTCTCCAACAAACAAGTCTTAGATTATTTTGTATTAGAAGGAAAGGACCTATCGAGGATCAGGAATGCCAGTTTAGCGTCAATTCTTGTCAAAAACGGTAATTATTCGAATTCAACCAAGGATCTTAGTTTAAGACTTGGGCCTTGGACTTGGACTTGGGTAGTACTGTGTAGAGGTTAGTTGCAGACTAAGGGAGATACCTTGGTACAGTCCTAGCCAGTCCATGGTCTTGTCTACTACCTATTATTAACACTCTTCTTTCCTCTTGACTGGTCCCCTGACTGTCGGACTTGAAATAGTAGGATTCATTATCAATCAATCCTTCATTTAGGTGAAGAATTGGTCCACGAGTGATGATACTGATGGATAATAACATTGCGAGGAGCTTCCAGTCAGGCACTACCAAACTAGCAACTAGCAAGGACATAGTAAGTATCCACTACGTAACCTAGTCTACTACCTAAATCACTGAACCCATTTTATTTGTTGATAGCCAATCGATTATTCATCGGACTCTACGGAGGGTACGGAGATACCTGCCGAGTACAGAGTACAGTCGAAATCAAGGAACCACTGGCACTTTAGACGTAGCCAGGAGGTACCTAGTGTAACTCAACATTCATCATCAGCCGTTATTATTATCATTGTTGTTGTTATTGTTTTCATTATTCAGGACCGGTGGCACAAGGAATAGAAGTATCATTAGAGGAATAATACTACTGGATCGGAGTCGTATCATACCATCCAAAGACAGAAGAATGCCGTTGTTGCCCATGTGCTCAGACGACGTTGGGTACCTGAATGTATCCCTGGGGCAGGACACCGCAGGTAGTCACTATCCAGTAATTAGCCTGTAGCAGATAGATAGTATCAGAATCATTGACTATCCTGTCCATAGAGTAAATAATAATACTACGGAGCACACGGTATAATAGATCTCATTATTCTCCTTGTCCTCGTCACTAGACTTGTGTCAATCTCGGAGATAACATTCCCAAACAGAGAACGTACCCGCTACATAGTAAGGTACCTACGAGTGGTACGTAGGACATTTAGCACATTCAGTCGACTACCTTACCTATGAAGKTCGATATCGAGTCAATTACGATATTCTGCTCAGGTCTCATACCTTGACAGATGATCATCTATCCAGCCACTGACCACTCAACAGAAACTGTACAATTGACGATGATAAATCGGCGTTATGGTTCTTCATCCGAACTCTAGCCGAGGTTCGTTGCTGCTGTTGGACACATTGAACAGGCACTTTTCTGTGTACATTTTCTGTCTTCTATTCCATCGTACCCTCAATTATCTCTCTCCTCGATACAGTCAATCTCTGTCAAAATGGCCGAAAAAGACCACCCTCCCTCCGCTCCTCCGCCCACTTCCTACATGAGCGAACCCACGGCCGATCCTGCACTGCTTGATCCCTTTCGCGCCATTGGGTGGTCCAACTCCCTCCTCAACTCCCCAGACTACTATCCCATCCGCACCTGGTCCCGACTCCCCAAGGCACACACAGGCGAAGATGGCTTCTTCGCCGGCACACTGGCCACATCCTCCACAATCCCGCACTGTCTGACTCTCCGCCGGCGCAACCTCCTCCCTCCCCCGCAAGAGGTTCCCGTCTGGCCCAGTCCCACCGCAACCCCGTCGTCGGCGCCTTCCCCAATTCCTCCGGATATCATCATGATGGTGGATCTGGCAACGCCGGGTGTGAGTGGCCATCCGTCCACCGCTCATGGCGGCGTCGTGGCCACGCTGCTTGACGAGGCCATGTCCTTGGCCGTCGCCATGCATGCTCCCGCCTCTGGGGACCATCCTCGGGGTGCCATCTACACAGCGCAGCTGGACGTCCGCTACAAGAAACCCCTCCGTGTGCCTGGCCTGGTCGTCGTCCGCGCGAAAGTCGTGGCTCGAGTCGGAAGGAAGTACTGGGTGCGTGCGCAGGCGGTGCAGGAAGAAAGCGACGAGAACAACAGCCGCGGTCGCGGGGATCATTTGGAATGGGCTAAAAAGAAGACAGTGGTGACCGATGCGATGGCGTTTTGGATACAAGCTGCTCCTTCGTTGTGACCATCATCTCCGCTCCATATTCTATTTCTAATGTATATACTCCGTATAGAGACATATATGCACATACAAAAGACATTCATGCGTAGATTTAGTGGTCTACGGACAGAGGGGGAACGATGCAGGGAAACCTCGCCTACATCTTCGACTTCCGCTGCCCGATATTTCGGCTGGCGTCCACCACCAATCCCACTTGGGTGCTCAGCGCGACCACGTCCCCCTCCTCATCCAGAACCACCACGTCCAGATCGGTCCGGCCGTTCCGCACCGACCTGGTCTGCACTCGGCTATATAGCCACTCCACCCCGCTCGCCGGTAACCGCTTCTTGAAGTCGATGTTCAGCGTCACGGTCGGGTACCAGTACTTGGCCAGCTTCCCCTTCGCCGATTCCGTCCCTGCAGCATTATCTGCATCGTCTCCCTCCTTCGTCGCCTTGCCCATGGTGTCGAACCCATCCAGCGCCATCGGGAATATGTCCGCCAGAAATGCCACGGCTTCATTGGTCCACCGCGCCTCCGTGTTCCCACCTGGCCGGAACCGCGCCCACTGGTCGACAACCGGCGGCTTGCCAAGCGCCGGATCAGGTCCGTACAGTTCAACCTGCTGCGACGCCCGGCGGAACTTGGGAAAAGGTGCGAGCAGCCGAACCCATTGCCCATCACGACCGGTCTTCCGCAGTGCTGCAAGGTTCACGCGACCCTTGGGCCCCGACCCGGGAATCGCCTCAGGTAGCAAGGTCCAGTTCGAGGGCGCCGAGACGCCCACTTCAGCCGTCGCGGGGCTCACCGTGATGTAGCCCGCGACCTTGACTTCCAGATTCTCATCGTCGTCAGACGAGGCTGACGGCCCAGTCTGTGCCTTCTTCTTCCCCTTCTCGCTAGGTTGCAACAGCGCGACATGTATCGTACTGGTTCGAGCCCCGAGTTTCGTATCCTGCACCTCCAACACAGCCGGCCCGACGGCCGTGCGACGTAGAAACACAAGCTGCATAGAGATCGGAGTGGCAGCGGCATCGTACCGCCTGGGATGTGTGTGAGCGAAATGTGTGATTGCCAATCGGTAGAGGACAGCTGTTGTATATCCGCCGTTGGGAACTATACGGTGTCAATCAACTCGCAATGATCTCAAATAGCTGTTAAGCAAATGTAGGAGACGCACCAGTACCAATGCACCATTCATCCCGCAAGACGGCCGAGTACCGGTGGGTATTTACAGGAGTCACTTTGATCGCCTCCTCAAAGGCCTGATTTGCTGCGGGGGCTGTCATCGCGATGGGTTGTCGTACGGCTGGAAGACTCGACACTTGACAGATCAGGTCAGATTAGGCCAGCCAAGCTGTTCAGAGAAATCGAAAGTCCTGTGAAATGGAAGAAAGGTTGGAGACATGCCGGAGAACGTAGCTAATGTCGCAGTCGATTGTCAACATTAATACGTCGGCCATGCGCTTCGGATCATGGTCTGACCAGACCTCGGTTCTTCGTATGTTTGGAGCTATAACAGCCGAAAGCTGACTAACCCGCTACAGTTGGTGGCCAGTTGACCAGTTGACCAGTTGACCAGTCGCCCGGAAAGACTACGAACTAAGAGACTTCGACTTCCATGAACATGTTCCTTTTCTTTTTTTTTCTGCAAATGGAAATTCTCCTCAAGTTCCGTGTCCAGACACTCCTTTCATTACGCCCGTTGACCTTCTTTTATCTTCAACGCTGCGGTGTAATTAATTTATCCCAATACATCCAAATGTTGAGCCATTTACATCGTACCCTCGTAGATCGATCGAATCAAAAGAAGAATCTCTGCACTTAGTGCGCTGGTGACGCATTTGCCAGTCTCTCAAGGCAAGAAAGGACACCTGTGAACAGTCGGAGTCAGCGAGACATTCTACATCGCTTATGATCCTAGTTTGGCACGACAAAACTACTTACCAGTCACTCCCTGCGTCAAAGTGGCCTTGGCTTCCGTGCTGCGAGACCCCAGAGTGACTGTCATCGCATAGCCAACTGCTTTTGCACTTTCCAGCTTGTTAGCCCACCGGAACACTGGCTCGTCGTCGCGACCGTCTCCGATGGCCAACAAAAAGTCCGGCCGGGCAATCTGCTCGTCCTTTTGGCTCGCATTGACGCAGTCCCGCCATACCAACTCCGCCGCCGAGGCCTTGTTCGTATTTGCCGGTCCTACCACGAGTGCACGGTCAATGAGAACAGCATGTACCCCCTGGCTGGCACATGCATCGTTGATATGACCTGCACACTCAGATGCCAGCCGAGAGGCAGCTTCGTGGTCTTCTGCCGAGCCATAGTGGAACACGAGGGAGCAGTGGCGTTTCTCGATCCAACTGCCCTCCGCTCGTTCCTGGTAGTAGCTGAGAATCTGACTGACGCCTTCCTTCCAGGCATCCGTACGCTCCTTGTTGGTCAACTTGAGCCATTCTTCGGTATTTGGCTCTCGCACGAAGCAGCCGTTCTCTGCGATGAGCCCGAGGCCAGGAACTCGTCGGAACAGACGTTCCATCTCTTCGGGCATTCGTGAGCTCATGACATAAACCACATTCTTACTGTCCTCCGTCAAATCCGTCAACGTGGTAATGGCTCGCTGTGGAGTCGTGACAATGATGCTCTTTGGAGAACCCCACGAAGCCAGAGTACCCTCGTAGTCCACAATGATCAATCGGCGCGCAGCTTTGCGGTACATCTCCTCCACTTTGTTCACTGGCAGGCGCGGAACAGCCATGATCTCACGCGAAGACTGTTCATTCCAGACACGTTGCAACTTCTCATTGAAGGACTTCACCCAGTTTCCTGTCGAGTTCTGGAGGACGGCTCGGCGGAGCTGCTCCCACACCCGTTGACGCTCCGCCTCGCTCCTGGTCAGTGCAGTATGGATGGCCTCCGCACATTGCCGGTAGTCCCAGGGATTGACAAGCAGCGCGTGGTTGCCGAAAACCGACGCACTTCCAGTGAACTCGCTCAGAATGAGAGACCCGTACTTCTTGTTTCCGTATTTTCCATCTTGGCAATACACGAATTCGTGACTGGTCAGATTCATTCCTTCACGCAAACTGGTGATCATCAAGGCATCCGCCACTGAGATCAAAGCCAGGTATTGTGGGAAAGCAAGGTCTTGTTTGAGGAACACCAGTGGCTGATGAGCAAGCGTTGAGTGCATCGAGTTGATCCGCATGGCGATGTCTGAGATCATGGCTTCGAGCTCTGGCTGTTCCGTGGTGCTCGTCGCGACTTGAATCAGAACAACCTGTCCAGAAGGGTCAGCGCAATCACATAAAGGCGCATATGGTTGCCAACAATGTACTTGCCTTGTCCCTCCATTCAGGGTACGTGTTTAGGAAGAGCTCGTAGCTCAGAAGTTTTTGCCTGATTCCGCGAACTGAGTCAATTTTGTCACGGGAAACAATAAGACGTTTTCCTTCATATCTCTCAGAGATTGTCTTCACCCATTGTTCCACATCGGCCGCCTGTCGTCGCTTGTCCCAGGAGGTTGGATCAATACCGATGGGAAAAGTACCCACGTTAACAAAGCGATCCTCCAGCTCTAGTCCCTCGTTGGTTGCCTCGACGCAAAGGATGCGACTACAGGTCTGAAGGAAATGTCGGCAGTACTCATCAGTCTGAAACCCAATAAGGTTAGCGCCCAACATGCCCTCGAGAAGCTCTTTTCGAGGCGCCAAGCATCTGAAGACTTCCGAGGAAGGGAAAGCTATATGCAGGAAGAAACCGATTTGTGCATCCGGGAGCAATTTCCGAAGCATCGCGGGAACAAGGAGCAGGTGGTAGTCTTGGACCCAGATCGAATCGCCGCGTTTCCAATTCTTCGCAATGCGCTCCGCGAACGCCTGGTTGGTCTTGACATAATAAATCCATGAATGGTCTTCATATGCTTTGCTTTTCGGGTTGTCGGGGATCTGGTAGTGAAACACAGGCCAGAGGATTGTCTTGCAGAAATGAGTGTAGTGACCGTCAAAGTCGCCGTCGCTGACATAGACTGTCAACGATCCGTACTCATCCTCCAACTTCTCGGCGATGGCAGCTTTGGTGTGAGGTGACAATGCATCCGTGGGCATACCCAGCGTACCAACCCACACTTTGTCTTCTAATTGGCCTGCATCCGTTGCTGATCGCACCGCATTACGCAACCCGCCGTTACCCTGCTCTGCTGTTTCGACCGTCCACTCCGCCTTCGAGAACGAAGTTTTGCGGCCGCGATCCTCGGCTTTGTCCGGGGGATGCGACCGGAAGGGTTCGACTTTCAATGGTGTCTTTTCGCGAATAGGCTCCAGAACTGAGACAGTGGGCTCCTGATGTTTAAGGATCGAAGGGGAGGGTGAAATAGGCGGCCGAGCCCTGGGCTGGTTCAGAGCAGTGGTGGCACCCCAGGCGGGAGAATGTGCTTCACTTTCGGTGAGAAGATTTGAATCATCCGGCACAGCAGGAAATGGATAGCTTGAGGGTTCCTGCTCAGCCTTTGTAATGTCCGACGTGAAGATTCGCTCATGATCAGTGGTAGCCCCAGGCGTCAGACCCGCCTTTCTACCACCATGCTGTCGTTCAAACAAACTGATGGCAGCATTTGGTGTTGGGGTCACAGCCTGGGATGGAGGGTTCGATACGGGAGGGCTCGTTCGAGCGCCGGCGGGATCTTCAGACTCGCTGTCATGAAAATTCACAGTGTACGGCAGGAATCTGGCAGATCAGATACGTCAGCGCAATAGAAGACAATAGGAGAGAATAGTCGACATACAATGAAGCGATGAAAATCGTCATCCTGGCTGATTGATACGGACTCTAAACCAAATGGCGGGGGGAGGATGTCGAGGGAATGGCGAAGGAGGGGCTGCAGGAGATGGAAAGGAATAATGCCCGAACTGCAGTTGATGAAGAAAAGGGTCATAGAAGATATAGAAGAAGTGACACGGTGACAAGGCAAAGGCAACCTGGATGCTGGGCTGATACAGCTGGTTCTACCACGGATCGTTGTACTTGTCACAACTTGGACAAAAAGGGCCTTCTCTCATGGCTACGTCATGTGAGAAAAAGGTGAGGCCCAAGGCGGAAGAAGCCAGCAGGAGTGGGCGCGGCCCACTAAAAACCTGATAAGGAATGGCAAAAACAAGAGAATCCAGGGTGAGAAGAAGGATGTGTCTTTTTTTTCCTTATTTGTTTCCAGGGTGGCTTCCGGCCTGTCTAGAAAATTTTGGACCATTGACGGCGATCTACAGAGTACCTCTATTAAACTAAGGTACGAGCTTTTGTCCTCCAGATTGATCAATCACTTCGTTATTGGCTGAGATGATCAATCCATGTTGGGTTGGTTCGCACTGTCAGGCAAACCACAGTATGCGCTCTGATTGGTCCAGTGCTGTAGATTCACGGGCGGGGCGGTTCGAATAGGTAAGGTAGTGAGGGGCCGTGGTCACGTGTTGATAAACTTGCCTCTTATCATCACATGGAAGAAGAAACCTCAGGCAGACTATCTTATCACTTGAGGGCATCCGAAAACTTGAACGGCTTCTCTTCTTCAAGGTTTTCGAAAACCGCAGTCTTTCCTTCTATTCTCTTCTAGCTGGGCCATGCCATTACGGATAACGTCTGCTCCGGTATCTGGTATCCAAAAGAAAAAGAGACCCGCCGCTTTCAAACCTCGCGCCTCCCCTTTTGCCGGACATGCTCGCCAGAAAGCCGCCGTTCAATCTTCCCGCCCTTCCAAGTCTGACCAGCTAGGTGAGGTGTGCACGGGTGATTTCGATCAGGGCCCACTTCCTGACTTGGGGACTTCTCATTATGTGGCACAGATTGCTCCCGTCGAGGATGTGATTCAGGCCATCCACTACATTCGCGACAAGATGTTCGAGGATATCCCTGCTCGAGCTGGCATGAATAGTACTCGCATTGCTGAAGTACTTAATCTACGCCGGTCGCTACCTCCTCTCGCCTCGGTGGCTCATGTTCACACGCTGATCGACGCGCCTACGAAAGTGGAGAAAGAGATTGTAGATCTGGTCAATGCCGGTCGTGTTCGGCGCTTGATTGTGCCAGGACGAGGGAATGATGCGGCAGGGCTTGGCGATTGTCTAGTTCTAACAGAGGATTGGGAAAGGCTTGTGTTGGAAAGCAGTGTCTTGGAGGCCTCAGTTAAGGGTAAGTGAATGGCGTCCTGCTTCCGTACCACCTATCTGCGTTGCTCTTGCTGATCAGCTCGCAGATAAATTCCTTCAAGTTCTCGGCCAGATCGGAAACACATCGGCTATACCAG